CTCGGAGTTTTTTCTGAGCTTGTAATTACAAGTACCTGCAACACGCCTGGGTAACAATTTAAATAGAGGGTGGTCTCTAGATTTCATCTTTTCCATATATTTACAGCATAAGTCTTCTCTTCTGTCTTGCAGTGTTGGCAAGTTTGCTTGACCCAGGGCCTCCGTATAGGACTCCTCCGCGGGGAAAACTATCTTTAAGCAATAGACCACACTTTCTATGGGTTTACCGGCGTGATAACCCACTTGGGATGTTGGGAGAACACGAGAAAAGCTTGTAAATCACTCGCCTTCGGCTCGTGATTTACAAGCTTTCCTCGTGTTCTCCCAACATCCCAAGTGGGTTATCACGCCGGTAAACCCATAGAAAGTGTGGTCTATTGCTTTTAGAAAATAACTCCTAGAAGAATGGAGTGTTTTAGGTAAAAAATATGGTTCTAGTACCGTGATCAAGTCACTTCTTCTCTCTAAAGTCATCATAAGCCAATCATGACTCACGATTTAATAGCGTTGAACTTTCTCAAAACTCAGTTCAGTCAAACAACAAACAGCAGCACTTCAAAACACGAGTTTTTGCACTCATTACATGATAACTTATGAAAGCTGTTTTACAGGAAAAGTCAACACATATTCATGCGAACGTACAATGAAAGAATACGTTCATGGTTTGTTTACTACAGAAGTAGAAATTAATTGAACATCAGACTGTACGCAGCTGTATTTTGTTGAGTCGATCCGTAAGAATTTCATTGTTACAGACGGAACTGACAGCTATTGTAATGGAGGACTTCATTCACTTTTTACAAGCTGCAGTGGTTTGAGATCTGTTTTCTGGACTATTATGATCAAGAAATGCTGGGGTAACGACGTGGCTGCATTTGCGAAGTTGTCGCATGTAACTTTATATGCGCGTACAGCGACCGATGGAAATATGTCAGTGGTGGAGAAAGGTTTCTTTGCCGTAGCCACATATTGGCGTAAATATTTGTCGATTCGTGAAGTCAGGTGGTTTGAGGTAGGTTATGGCATCGATATCACCGAATAATTTGTGCAAATGTTGGAAAAAACCGGCACGAAACTCTGACATCTTTCATCATCGTTGGCAGCTTGTTTACAACCTACAGCGGCAGATTTTGTACCATATCTTGATCAGAGATCTCTTTTTGGAACAATTTCTTTCATTAAGGCATTTAATTTTGACATAAAATAAATCAAGAATGCTAAAACTATCCGTTTTGTTGCTGGTTGGCACATGGGTAAGTTTTCCTAGAGACTTTCTACACCAGAAATTCACACAGTTATTGTCTTTCTCTGCGATTGGCATCGTCGTGAAATGTAGACTGTTTTCCAGCTTTGTACTTTATAACTTCTAAAGCTATGGCAGTAGCGAATTGTGACGCTCAGTAATAAAATGTGGAAACCAACGTTTTTAATATTAAGAAGGGCTGGGTAAGTAACTTGTTCTGTTTTTTAGCCTTTCTAAAATCGTTGTTTGCAGATCAATAGCGGGTTTTTTTTATGGCTCGTGGTCCGGATGCCTTTTTCTATGGGTTTACCGGTATAATAAACCATAGGTTTTTGACCAATCAGATCACGCGTACTATCTCAGTTATTTTATAATAAGTAATATCTTAAGTGCCCTCTTTTGCACTGACTCTATTACATCAGTCAAGTAGTCTGAGATAGATTGCCACACGGACACAGCGTAGGTATTTTAGAACTGGTCTTATCGTAGTAAGATATACTTTCAGAATGCTAGCTCTGCTAACACCCGCTTTACGCAGTACCCTTAGGGAATATAATTTCTTACATGCTTTCTTAACATTAGTCCACATTCCTATTCAATTTGAGGTCGTTGCTCAAAATGACACCTAAGATCTTATATAACATTTAACTTGCTCTATAACATTATTTCCTATTATAATAGGGTTGAGTAATACGTTTGAGTTGTGAAGGAAGTTTACAAACATTTCTTTGCACTTAGTTGGATTTAATTTCATATTATGGCTATGGCGAAATTGTGAATATCAGAGGCAGCAAAGTTCAAGGAACTGATAGAGTTCCTAGGGATAATCTCTAGAGCTGATGTACATGTGTCGTCTACGAATTTGATACACAGATGCCAGTCAGAGAGCAGTCTGTTTGTCATAACTGCAAAGAGGATAACACCAACTTGGTCCCTTGGGGTATTCCTCCTTTCAGTGTTTTCAACATAACAAAACATAATTTATATAGCGCTAACTCCACTAATTGACCAAAGCGCTAGACTGACAGCATTCCTCCAATCCAGCCAGCCTGCTGGCAGTTGGTGAGAAAAGCAGCGATCCAGCTCAGAAGTAAAGGATGGACTTCCAGTTCGTCCAGTTAAGTAGATTCGCTATCTTCACAGGTAAGTAGAGAAAAATATTATGAACAGCAGAGCTAACTAGAAAGCCCATCATTAAATATCCCAAGGTCTAGTTTCTTGGAAGTATCAATAACCTTACTGGATCAAAGCCATACTATAAACCTTCACATTCAAATCAATAAGGGGGCGATCCTTTCTTAAAAACAGTTGGAAAGGAACATTCAAACCAAAAAAACAGCTCTTGTTTTAACTTGTTTTCTAGGAACCGTTTGAAAATAATGAAGTTAAGAATGCAGAGTGAGACATCATTCTCACTGAAATCAGTTACACACATGTATACATACATACACACATGTATACATACATACATACATACATACATACATACATACATACATACATACATACATACATACATACATACATACATACATACATACATACATACATACATACATACATACATACATACATACATACATACATACATACATACATACATACATACATACATACATACATACATACATACATACATACATACATACATACATACATACATGACTTTATTGTACCTCGACTTTACAGAGTAGCTCAAAAGCTAATAACTTAGAGAAAAAAAAAAGATAAATAATAAAATAACATTACTAAGTACTAGTTATTATCTAGTGTTAAGTGTCATGTTTCGTTATATTATACAAAAAAATATATGATAATACCAAGTACTAACATGGTTGAAAGGATATGGTTCGTATTAGGCGTTTAAAACCAGCCAGAGTGGACTCCGTTCTAATGTTCTCAGGTAGAGAGTTCCAAGTCTTACAGGCAAAATGCTTAAAAGAGTGAAGACCATAAGAAGTGGAAGCAGGTCTACACAAAGACAATATATCAGTTCCTCTAAGAGTGAAGACCATTGTGGGCAAAGTTAATAAGTCCTTATACACAGGGTAGAAATTGATATGCATACATTTATGAATCATGATTAACATATCTTTTACTCTCAAATTGTAAAGTGATGTAGCTGCTGCTCTATCTAATAACTGACTGTACGTTGATTCCCTGACATTAAAAACTACACGCAGTGCATGCTTATTCAATGACTCCAGTTTTTCGCTATTCCTAGGGCTACAGAAGTGCCCTGCTACAAAACAATACTGAAAATGTAGCCTTATACAATTAGATAACATAGTGGAGTGTTTAGAAGCTTGAAAAACCTTATCATAACATTCAGTTGATTGTTGACGTTTTGAGATAAGCTTAATTCTTCTTTCTGTTGGAGGTGTACAGTAAGGCTTAATGTAGTTAATTGGGATTAGTTTCTGTACGCCAACACGAGCATAGCTAGAGATATTCCAGAGGTACAAACAGTTTCCCAAATTAATCAAACCTACCCCATCACGCAATTCATTTTTGTACAGGTGACTTATTTGATGGAATTTCCATACAGTATGGTGAGGAACTCACCTCTTTTGGTCTTCGGAGCATGCTATTAGAGTAGCAATATTAAAGGGCTTTTGCCAATGTGGCAAAATTGGAGAAAACAATGCCCTCCACTTGTTTTGAAAAAAAATAATCCCACAAAAGTTAAAGTGGGGTTATAACTCAAATGAATTGCACCTTGTTAATTAGCTTTCTCTTATCTGGCTTCTGTTGATCTCCATCTTTATTTTTTGTCTCTACTGGGGTACAGCTGGTAGCTATACACCTACGTACATATTTGGTATACATAAATTACTGATTACTGATCCTGACTGCTTAACAGCACCTTTCAGTTCAGTAAGGTTAGCAAATGTTAAAAATGTACCAACACTAAAAATACTCATCATTAATTGTAATATGAAGTATATATAGTACCTTTAGTCTCCCAATCTTTCAGTTCTCCAAGGAGTTTTGCTTCATCTGCAGCAGGTAGAGCCATGACTCTCACCAGGTGTTCCATCTCAACAAAACTCTGCTGAAACTTAACAGGATCCCACTTACTGAAAACACAGTGCGCCCAGTCATTCCTAACAATCCTGACATCACCAGCTGCAGCTTGCATGGCAGCTGAGAACACAGGTACACCACCAAGTAATGTGAGTACAGCTGAAGCATCACAATGGTCACCAAAAGCACTGAACTTAGCCATGAAGTTTTCAACGTACAACTTGGCAAAGTCAATGTGAGATAACACTCTACAATCAAACAAGGAAATGTTGTATTTTCCACCCGGAAGCTTTGGGTGACAACTGTTACCATTGATGTTCTCATACTTTAAAAACTTTCTTGCAGGCCACCTTTGAAGACGACCAGATGTACTTTGTGTATGAATATTGTGGCTTGTCTTGAGATTGTTGTATTCCTTATCAACCTCTTGTTCCACAAAAGGACGGATCTGTGGCACAAGGATCTTGTTGAGTGCTATTCCAAAGACAAGCCATCTTTTCTGATTATCTGTCACACCAAGGTGACTTGACCTGAAGATTAATGAATATTAACATTACCAGAACAAATGAAACTTTGCAACAGCACTGGGCCTGTACATGTAATAATTCTGTTGAACCTCCATAAGAGACCACCCAAAATGCAAAGATTTAATGGTTGCTTCTGCAGGGAAGTGGTCCCTTATGAGAATTGAACTACAGGGGGGTCTTCCTAGAAGAGGTCCAGACTTATCTACTTTATGGTCGAGAGAGAGTGTTGCGTGACTTTATTCAGTTGCAGTATTTATCATAATTTCACTGCATTAGAACTTTGGAATGATGTAGTTTGAAGCAAACCTAAAAAAATCCTGATTATAGGTCACAATAAACAGGGTACCACAAAGGCAAGCATTTGAGAAATCAAAGGTGATGTTTTTGTCTCCATGGAGCAAAATCCCCCGCGGAATGTAGGGTAAATATCATTTGCCTATACGTGTAAGTGAAGCAAATACACGTGTTAATCGCTGTGGCTGTAAACATAACGTTTCCTCAAAGTTTACCCTTTTGAAAGCATAAACTCACATGAAAGAATTATGCTGTCACAAAAACAAATATAAAATGAAACGAAGCAAGTCGGAAAATCGGAAAAAAAGCAAGGATAATTCAGTTTGATAGACCTATAGGTAATCTGCATACTGATGAAAACAACTGGAAGCTCAATTTGAAATCATTCAACTTCATGTTTGTTTTTCTGGCATTCTATACATCCTACTGGTTTAAATCCTTGAAATATTTTATGAAGTCAAAATAATTTACAAGTTGATGGAGCGATTGCATTTCCAAATAAAAAGGAGACTTGTGCAAAAGCTTGGAATTATTGATTTGCTTAAGTTAAATTACCTTTGTATTGTACAAACAATAAGCTAAAACTTCACTCAGAGAGTCAAAGGACGCTACATGCATCGGCATCCTTTGCATGTGCACAAATAGTCACGGGACACACGATTTTTTGGGTGATGCAGATCAAAAGGCAGAATTCTGTAATGATTTTGTTTAACAAACTTATTTATTGATCGGCCACGACAGGGCCTTTGATCGGTATAAGGTTCATGCAAATAAAGTCCAAAGGGTTCACTTGACCTTTTGTCAATAATTAAATAAAATGCAATTTCAATGAATCAAGAAAAAATTTAAGAAACAAAAATAATGAAAAAAGGCAGCATGAAATCGGAGAAAGATTAAAATTGAATTTGTCAGAAAGCATAAGTGCAACACTTGTGGCTATGTTGAAGGGTCTTCAACCTTTCAACCCTGTCTAGGTGAGTTTATTTATCAGTTACAAAAATCTTTTTGGAATAAAAGCGACTCTTGATTTATCAAGCTACCAGCACAGCAGTAAGTTACAGCTGTAAGTAAGTTAATCATTGTTAATATATATGTTTGTACTTTAGCTGAATCAATCTTGTGTGTACATGCTAATGAAGATCAACTTATTTTAGGCTCACCCAGATGTCAACGAAGCCATTTTAAAAATTATATTTGAAGCATCAACACGGCTTTACTTCTCTCCTTTGTGTCATCCTGTGTCACGATCTGAAAAATAATCAGAAACCACCTGCTATCATAAAAAATAATTTATTGTAAATGAAAGACATGCTTTGAGTCAATAATGCCCACAAATTCAGAGCTTTTTTCTGTCAGTAAGTTAACTAAAATTGCCTCCTTGGCTTCTAAACAGACTACACTGTAATCTTTCATAATTGGATTGTAAGAGACACTGCCAGTTACAGGTATACACATGAAAAGAGTGACACAATGTGGAGTAAAGTTTGTTGAATTAATAGACAATGCAAGTAAGCATACTTTCTTGCCGATCACTCTCCAGGTCTCTACAGAACTAGTGAAATGTGGTCTACTAGACCACACACTCCCATGTCTCCTTTAACTACTTTCAGACTGTTCTGCATGACAGCTGCTTTAGCAGTCGTAGTAGGAAATGACAATAAAAATGTTCATCCAAGTATAATAAACTGAGCCAGAAACTTGCTAAAGCCAGGGTGTTCCAGTTGTGTTCAAAATTTAGGTTTGGTATGTCAGAAACAATGCTAAAAATACTGAATACTATACTGAATGTATCTTTATATTTTATTTCATGCACTCTCTGAAAAAGCTACCCAGGAAGCATTCAATCTTTTGAATCCCTTAAATTATATAATTATCAAAAAAATGCAATTAGATACTTATCAGTGCTGATTTAATTCAGTCGAATTAAGTAGTTGCTGAAAACAAAGCATAGAAAACAAAAAAAAGATGGTTTAAACTTTCAATGAATCGAGTTCCCCACCGCCTACAGTAGATGAGATAGTCATCTTCAAGCTAGACTTTGTCAAGACGGACGTCGACTGTAGCGCTCCCTCTCGACCATTTTTAAAAAATTGGGGATTTTTACGGGTCTAATAATGTTCTAAGTTCCATGAAAATGCTTAAAAAAATTCTCCACCTTTCAAAAACTACACTTTCTTTCATGAAATTTATACACCCACTATTTGAACTGTATACGACAGAAAACGCAATGGGAGAATTCTCGGAGGAATATTAAACAGATTAAATCACGGCGTACCTACTTCCGGGATGCAGAACGTCTACTGACATTTTTGCCGTTCAAAAGTCGATAGAAAGTACGCCACTGGAGTTGTTAAGTTAAAAAACGAAATCCTTCAAACCGTGAAGCACTAGTACAATGTCGTGTGCGGTTAAGAACAGTCACTACTTAGTTTCACTTTCCTTTTAAAGTTCATACATGCAATCGACTCCCGGTAACTCGGACCTTCTATAACTCGAACCTCCCGTTAACTCGAAGTAATTTTTATTTCCCTTCAGATCATTTTCGATATAATTTTACCCTCGATAACTCGAAATCCCGATAACTCGAACTTTTTTCTATTTCCCTTAAAAGTTCGAATTATCGGGAGTCGACTATTTCAACATGGAGGCCAAAGCCATTTCCATTCCACCAGCACGCAATAGTACGCAGAATACAGAGGCACCAAGCATTTACGTACGGCTCTAATAGGATATCACAGCACAAAAACCCGAGTGTTAATACAAAAAGCGATCAATACTTACAAACATGTACCGAGAAAACTCAGTAACTTCGTCAGATCGTAGAACACAGACACCAGAAACAAAAGTAATGAAAGGCAGAGTGTTCTACTAACTTTGGTCATGTGCCCAAAGTAACGGAGACAAGTAAGGGACTTGTCAGAAATTAGCAGGGGGGGAGGGGAGGTGGAAATAGAGGGAGGGTCACAACTTTTTGAGACTCCGAAAAGGGAGGGGTTATGAAAATCTGCCGTTAAAAGGGGGAGGGTCATGCAAATATATGCCCGTGATCATGTAGAGGTTCACCCACAGAAGAAAAAGGAAGTTCTTTATTTCATAAAAAAAGAACAAAAAAAAGAACAATGGAACATTATGGATATAAACTGTGAAGTACTATGGCAAGAATTAAACAAACATCTACTTTTCATTTATAACAATGCCATAGAGTCTTACTGCATTTTTATTATGAATAATGTTGTTATTAATGTTATTAGAGTTTTGGCTATCCTTTTCATCACTGTCTTCAGCATCACCATCAATGCTGGTGTGTGCATCTTGATCATCATCATTTATGTCATCAGCATTGATACAATGACTTTCATCATCATCATGATTTTCATTTCAGTTGAAGCGTAGATATTGCTTGATAATTTCCTGTGATTCATTGGTAAACAATCCCTTCTTAAATGCATATTGGATATATGGCCTTTGTGTTTTCAGGAGCCCACTTATTCCTTCATAATGAAGAGATAATGGACCAATAGGCTGTGTAACATCATGCCACTCTTGCTGAGGTGCAATGGTTTCAATAACTCTTTTGCAGTTTACTTCCATTCTTTTTGTCCTAGCTTTTTTTGCTTTCCTTTTATTTTGTTTTTGTTTCCTTTTTTTTCTTGTTGGCTTGGAATACTTTAAGAGCACCTGGAACATTTAAGAGCCTGGAACATTTTTCTTTCAAATTATTCTGTAAGGTGGGGAGGGTCATGATATTTTAGGCCAAGCTCAAGGGGAGGGTTAGCAAATTTCACGCCCATTGGAGGGATGGGTCACCTAATTTCCGAACCCAAATTTAAAATTCTCACCCCCCCCTCCCCCCCTGCTATTTTCTGACAAGTCCCTAACCTGATTCTTCACAAAATGACGTCGACTGATCTGGACGAATGTTTGAAGACTCCTTCAGACCCGAAATTGGTTCCTCACGAGTTGGATGGAAAATTAGAATTCGCGAAAAGCGGTACTCTAATTAACATACAAAATATCGGTGGATTTTTTCGTACCTTTTTAAGAGATGTCTGTCACTTCGCTCCATGTTCCAGATATTCTCTCTTTACTCCGTAAAACGGAGTTTGACGATCGATGGATGAGAAGCATCTTAGATCTCTCACACGTTTACACTAAAATGTGAATACCCGTCTAGTACATGTACACTTTTACATCCAGACTTTAAACGCCTCTGGACGTTTTGGCAGTCCTGTAGCTAGTATAAATACGGCCATTAATGTGAAGTTCCTGGAGAAAGACTATAGAGAACAGCTGACTCATACTGTTTTGTTTCTAGCCTGTGTGGCAGGCGCAAAAAGGGGAGGGGTAATCTCCATGCCTTTTGCCCTTCCTACTAATCCCCTCAATACCCCTTTCCATGCCGCGGGACGGCGCAAATGGAAGTGAACAGAAAAGAAAAGCGGGGAGAAAGGTGGGGAGTAAGGAGACAGGTGATAAAGTTCTCTTCCCAGCTCGAGATGGTAGGCAGGAAAGCTAACGGATTGTCGGGAAATGAAGATATTTCATGATACTAAAAAACTATGCGTGCGAAAGGAATAACAGGTTGGAAAGAAAGTCATAGATTAATGTAGATCTAAGGGAAGACCTCCAAGGTCTTTTTGATTTAGTGCGAGATACTCTTGACTTAATGCCTCTTCCTCTCACTCTTACGTTTTTTTAATTACAATCACAATAATATTATCATTATTACTATTACTACTCATTGCACTATTATTGTTATTGTTATTATCAACAATTATTATTATTTATTTTCTCTTTCCTTCTTATTTCGCGCTACTCTATCTAGGCTAATCTGACCGCCTGGAGTAGGCTAATATACTCTAGCCTATGAACCTGGCTGTTTTTTGGTGTATTTTGTTTTTTTGGGTGGGGGGTGGGGGGGGGGGGTTCGTCCTCGGCCAGTTCAGCTTTCGCGCGCCTGAATCTCTTACTTTACGAACCACAAATGGGAAAAAAATAACAATAAAAAACCGACAGCTACCACTGGCTACGCAGACTAAATATACTCTCATTGACCTATCGGTACAAGTGCGTTTCACAGTAGTTCAAAATATATAGTGGTTTAAACTCATTTATACAATCTTTATACAACATAACATTGCAACTTTATTTACAACTGTTAATGTATTAACCTGATACCAGCCTATCAGGGGACAGAAGATAGTTAACAAGACACCAATGCAAAAAGAATAATGATAGTAATGATAAAATAATAGTAAAAATCATTGTGTATATAGATTATAAAAACAACCTCCTCCCTAAGGCTCTCCCCCTAGAAAATGGGAGGGGCGGGAAAATTCACTAAAATGTAACATTTATAACAATTGTTTTAAAAAAATTATAACAGTTTGTAAAATCAAGGAGTTAAAACTCTACCAAATAAACTAGAAAATGTTTAAAATATTTTAAAAAGTCTTTTAAGACTTAAAAGAGCAAAACATCGGCGTATAATCTGGTACCCAGTGTTGACGAAGCCGACAAAAAGAGATCTGGGTACGGATCTAGATCTTCAACAAAGTGGGGGCCCCTCCCATCAAGATCCTAAGAAGAAAAGGGATCCGGCCTCGAAAATAACATTCTCGGCCTTGCAGGCCACAGTTTGGCCTAAATATAAGGTGGGGGCCCGGGCCCCTCCCCTCGATTCGTCATTGTTCTCTTTGACATTGCACGTACAGTTTAGACCATCTGTACGGATCAAGGTACCTTTCCTTATTATTGATTTGCAGGAGCCTGTGATTTGTTACTGCAGTATTAAAGGGGCTGTGCCACGCCTGTCGAGATCATTTTGTTAATATTAGGAATCACTCGTCCTTACTTAAAAAGAAACTTAACTTAAGCGAAGAAATTACTTGTAAATGACAAAATTACTACTCTATGTCGCACAAATGTCTCCTTAGCATTATATCAAAAGTTACAGATAAAAAGAATGAACTTTGAAAAACTGGTGGGCTAACAAATTATCAAAAACCACAGTTACAACCCGTTTCATCTTCTTCCAAGTTTTGTCCTTTTGTATCTGCTGTTATGTATACATTCTTTTCATGTTTTGAGCGATTATTTTCATGTCTCGCTAAATTTGGTGGCAGTTACCACTGTTTGGAGTTAAATAAATTTTGTGATACAGCTCCTTTAAATCTGCATACGTATGTAAAGTCTTTTTTTCTTTTTATAAAGTTATATATTGGATGACTTAGCACTGAAACTGTCGCTAACATAGCTGGATGATGACAACTCATTTTGCCCCAAAGGGTGACAAATCTCCCGGCGGCTTTCGAGATTTCTCACCAAATCCCTTAAGTTACGCATATTAGCGTAACAGGAGAGACGAGGGAAAATAAGCAACAAAACTTGGTCGTAAAAATGTCACGACCATGTTAAACTAGACAAACTTAGCCCAAGTACCACGCTTCTTTAATTGTGGCTTACATTTATCATTGACATCTTCGCCTTGCTACCAACTCAAGGAATATTTTATAAGATTGTATTTGTTTGTAAAAAGAAGAAGAGAACAAAAAAAATGCTGAACCTTTTTTCAAAGAGCATCTAGTTGCATCTACAAACTGGCAACAAGACTAATTAAATAAACGAGGAAAGTTCTTTGTCGATAATTGTGGCGCAAATACAAGAACAAGTAAAGTGAGCGGACAAGAGGTGGAAGAAATCTTCAGCATTGATATCTTTCTTATTCTACGTAACCATCATCATCCGATCAACGACTCATCGCGGGTAATTTGCTTGAGCTGCAAGATACAATGCTGGAGAAAGATCATCGTCTAATCATTTACCCACTTAGTCTCTATATAAAAATAACACAATGCGACTGGATATCCCGTTTAAGGTTTTCCGCCTCTAGCGAACTAATCGGATTATCTTCCGCATTCAAACAGATCAAACTGTTATTAATCAGTAGAGCATCTACCAATTCTACAGCTCCAGATTCAGTGATATTGTTACTGGTCACAAGCAAGTGCGTAAGAGTACGATTTGATCGAAGTGCTTTTCCAAACGAGGATGCTCCCGAAGGGCCGATCGCATTGCTTCCCAACTCTAAAGCCTTGAGAGACCTGTTAGACTCAAGAGCTTTCGCGAGGGCTTCTGCACCCACACAGCTTATCTTATTGAGAGCCAAATCCAAATGGGTCAATTGAATACCAGTAGATTCCAGTGCCCTTGCTAAGGCTGCTGCCCCTAAATCGCCAATAAGGTTAACTTCTAGATTTAAATGGGTCAAGCTGTGATTTGATTGCATTGCCTTTCCGAGGGCTTCTGCTCCTGGATCTCCGATTCCATTTTCAGTCAGATATAGTCGAGTTAGAGAGCGGTTCGATTTCAGACCTTCTACAAGGGATGCTGTTCCTGAATCACCCATCGCATTGCCGCATAGGAACAAATGACTCAAAGTGCAGTTTGTTTGGAGAGCCTCTCCAAGCGCTGCAAATCCCGCCTCCCAGATCTCACTGAAGGAAAGGTCTAAATATGTCAACGATCGATTCGATCGCAAGGCTCGTGCGAGTGATGAAGCGCCAGATGCCCCAATCGATTCACCGCCAACAAGGTGTTGACGGATTTCAAAATCAGAATCCAATATAACGAGGGGTTTTTCGCTATTTGCACTACTTGATGTTTTACCTAAATCTAGAAAGGTAAGAGAAGAATTAGATCTCAAAATACGAGCAAGCTCCTGAGCTCCTGAATCACCAACGTCATTATCACTTAGATCCACATACTGTAGAGAACGATTGCTATTTAGACTATTTGCTAAAACAATTGCTCCTAGATCATGGATCTGATTTTGAGCCAGACTGAGATGGGTTAAAGTACAATTTGACTGTAGAGCGTTAGCGATGACAGTGACTTCTAAATCACTGATGCCAGCACCACGAAGACATAGATGTGTCAAACTGCGACTCGCGCGAATAACTTCTGCGAGTGCTACGGCTCCTTCAGTGCAGATAAAGTCTCCCCTAAATTTCAAATGTGTTAAATAACGAAACGACTGAAGACATTTCCCAAGTGCTTTGGCACCAAAATTCTTGATCCATGACTGCTGATGTGTAAAACTTGCAATGGCTTCGTTTTTGTGAGAAAAGGGAAAGCTTTTCTCCTCAGAGTCTTCTTTCAAGAAAGGGTAGCTGCATAATTTCATAAGAAAAAAGTCAGTGTTCACGCTAAGCAAATTCAAATGCTTTAAATTTTTTTCACGAGCCCCCTCAATTGTTGCTAACAGTACATCGTTTAACACGTCATGTAAAGTTAAATCTGTCAAAGTGTAGTTGGTTTTCAAGTATTCGGAATAAACGACATAATAGCGGTCAAGTTGGCCAAGGCTCAATTTTGTCACTGGAAAGCATTGCGCCAGTATATGCACCATTTTTCTTTGGTAATCCTGTAGTTCATTCCCATCGTCTTCACACTCTTTAATAACATGAAGTGTTTTAGTGACCACATCGTCTAAAATTTTCTCACCATCAGTCCATCTCTCCACAGCCCTAGTCCAGTCAAAAGGTTTAAGCTCACAGACCTCGAGTTCCCTACTGACGTTGGTATCAGCAACGGCGTCGATGGTCATTCGTGGTTTGTCTTGAACGAAAAAAGAACAAAGACGCGACACAACAAAAACGGCCATTTCACTTTTCTTGCTTGACGACATTGTGATGAGAAATTCCCACACCTGCCAGTTGTCAACGGGGCTGAGCTGAGCAAGCAAAGATTCTGTTCCTTTATTTCCAGTTATGATTTGCTGGACCAAGTAGAACGCAGCAAAATACTCCTGGAAAGTTTTGTGAGTGAAAGCGTAGCACGGCTTTGGCTTTATTTTGCTCACACTAGGCTCACGGGAAAGAAACGGTAGTTGTAGGAAACCAGGGGACTGGCATTTCTTTTCATCGCAACTGAAATATAACTCATTCTTCAGCAATGCCTCAAATGCCATTTCCCCCAACTGAAACAGCTGGTCTGAACATCTCTCGAAGGGATCGTCGTCACTCAAAGGTACACCTCTCTTGGTAAAATACCGTCTCAGCGCACAAGAGACAAGATCATCGTAAATCTTTGTCCTATTGGAAGGGAAAATTCCCTTTGTTTCTTCACACAGAAGACACAACAAAGCTGTATTTAGTGGATTAGCCGTTAACTCTCTCAGCTTTGTGTTAATTTTCAGCTGCTGAATCATTTTCCCCGCAAGGCTTTGGTCCTCGTGCTTGCTGAAATACTTCTTTACGTAACTGTCCACGTCATCATTAGTATAACCGATGATTTCCAGGAGCGTGTCACAGTATCGCCGTAGTCTTATTCCCGCTTCATGTCGAGCTGTTAACACGAGGAAGGTATTGGAAAAGATTTTGCCTTGAATCAATGGCTGAATGCACGGAAGCAGCTCATGACGTAATTCATCCAGACCATCGAGAATCAGTAATATTTTAGACTGATTTGAACGAATAAAATGGAAGAAGTCTTCTTTTTCCTTCTTACCAGCATCTTGTGGTAGAAGCTGATCATCAATAGCTTCCTCGATGTTTGCGGTTTTCATGTGCATGTCACGGCATTTCAACAGAAGCAATATCTCCACCCCAGGAAACGAAGCATCAGGCGAAATTTCCCCCAAGGACCAATCATGAGCCAGCTTTTGACAATAGGTGGTTTTGCCCATCCCAGGATTCCCTTCGATCAGCACCACTCTTGGATTGTAGCATTCTGGATGTAACTTGAATATTTCTGTCATATTGACGCTGTCATCGGTTAGTTGTGAACGTTCTTTTCTTCTACTAACTATCTGCAATCTTGTAAAAATGTTCGATAGCTTCAGCTGTAGTTCATCTTCACACCATGGAAAGGGACACAGCACCGCACCTTTGTAGTCTCGTCTGATAAGTTTGACAAGTTTCTCTGGAATAACTAATGAGGGAAAATAAAAATGAGGCATATAATTTTATCTGCGCTTAAAAAAAGTACATTTGAGCACTGGACAAAAATGATCATATTTTAACAAGAAAGAAAGAACACTGTGCTTTAATTTCTCTAGCCTGCGCGCTTGGAACTAGTGGGCGCGTGTCTTCTTCGCGCGCGCCAGTTCTCTCTTTCGCCCACTACTTCCAAGGGTCTGCCACGCAGGCTATAATTTCCCCTTATTTAAGTCGGCGTTTTCGTTTGCCCCTGTTGGTATGCGCACACCATTTGTATCAAGAGATTAAATGTGATCTGATGACTTTCTATGATAACTGCATGCAAGGCTATTAAACTATTCTCTCATTTCTTGTAACAAATAAAATTCCACTCTAAATCAGTTACAATTATTAGAGAGAAAATATAAGCATCGCGTTTACAGCAAACGGCAAACGTGAGATTCAAGTTGAGAAATACAGCTTAAAACAATTGTTATTGACTTGGCGTAAATCTACCGATTTCCGTGTAGTTAAACTTATAATGAACAGTAAACGATTTAGTAATGGAACACTTGGTCACGTGGTACAAACTCACATTTGCCGTTTGCTGTAAACGCGAATGATAACCTACCGTCAGATGTCATCAGTGGGTCTTGAAGAGAAGCGTCTGACTCAACAGATTCTCTTGTCGTCAGGTCATGAAACTTTGCTGCAAAAGGAACAAAAAGGAGAAAGAAGAAACGTCGACTTAGAAGTGCATTTTAAATTTTCAGAACTTACTCAGTGTGCAAAATAATATCCTACTATTTAAAAAGTAAGAGTTAATTAATTGCCGCAATTCGGACGATGGCCTCCTGGGTTAGTGCCTTTTATGACGGTGATCTTGGGTGTTAGATAACTAACAAGAACCTTTACTGTTTTCGCACAGAGCACATATCAACAGCGGGGTGGGTCATATTCGGTAAGAAAAAAACTAGACTCACAAGGAATAGGGCTTATTGCTTCATCTCCCAGTTAACTTCAAGACTGTGCGCATGGTCTTTACATGTAACTCGTTTAAACCTTTGATCTGCTGACTTCTTTTTGAAAATGAGACTGGAAAAGATTTAATTGACACATTGAAACTACCTTCAAGACTGTGTACTTGGTCTTCAACTTGTTCAGTACGAGTCTCCAGATTTCCAAACCTCTGAGCTGTATCCTCTAAAATATACAAACAAAATAAAATGTGCGACGTCACGAATGAAAGTACACACTAATAAAAATGTTAAATAAAATGAATTTTCACCATCAGTATTTTAAATGAAAAAGAGATTTGAAGAACTAATATTCATAGCCCACAGAGCAATCAGTGCATGCCTTATCTCGAAATTACCTTCAAGAATGTGCACTTGGTCTTCAACTTGTCCAGTACGAGTCTCCACATTTCCAAACCTCTGAGCAGTATCCTCTAAAATATACAAACAAAATAACATGTGCGACCTCACGAAAGAAAGTACACACTAATAAAAATGTTAAACAAAATGAATTTTCACCATCAGTATTTTAAATGAAAAAGAGATTTGAAGAACTAACATTTATAACCCACAGAGCAATCAGTGCCTTATCTCGAAATTACCTTCAAGACTGTGTACTTGGTCTTCAACTTGACCGGTGCGAGTCTCTAAATTTCCAAACCTCTGATCTGCATCCTCTACAAAACAGAAGCAGAAAGTACACAATTTCCAAATACTCTAACGAGTAAATATAAGGTTTAGAAACCATTATATATGATGTTGCAATAATGACACAAGAATTATGAAAATGGATGGGGAAGGTTAAGTACGATTACCTTGAAAGGTCTTTAGTCTTTCCACCATCTGTTTCATCTCTTCAAGATTTATGGCAGCGTTTTGCAGCTCTTGCTGTACTCTCACCTTTTCCTGGTCAAATTCTACAGACAAGTTGTTCACACTATCTTGTAGAAATTTTACTTCTTGCTGAACAAGTTGAAGCAATGCTGGGTCCACGGGGGAGTTCATGCACAACAGAGTCCCTGCAACAAAGCAGTCCAGATTACACACTAATACCTGGCACATTAATATATGTCATGAACAGCTTCCGGGAAAGACCATCACAAATATCCAGGGATAGTTTCTTGGAAGAGGGGTGATCTCTTCCTTAAAGAACACCCAGACCTCATGATCACCTCTTCTTCAACTTACATGTATCTAGGCAAACATGTTGAAGAGACACACTTCTATTGTTTGAGCATAATTCTAGGTGGCAGGGTGAGGCATGAAGCAACTGCTGTTGGGATAAGTTTTCTCTTTTCTGTGGGAGGTGTACATTGAGGTTAATTGAGATTTAGAAATAGTTTTTGTAAGCATATTATTTAGTATACATACACAAAGTAAGTGATATTAAGTAACTGCTGCTAAACAGGACCTTTCAGCTACAAAAGGTAAAAAAATACAGTTGAACCTCCATGTGCGACCAGCTCTCATAAGCAACCACCTCCCATAAGGGACCGCCAATCCAAAACACAAAAATTTTCCCAGTCAAGGCCTTACAGTTGGAACCTCTGGTAAACCGCCACCTCCTGTAAGTGGCTGCGACCACTTTTTGGGCACAATGGTTAATGGTTTTCCATTGTTTTCAACTTCTTGTAAGTGACCACTTGACTCATTTTTTTATCTCAGCTATTTTCGTTGTGTGCACTGTTACTTAGAATATGCGAAGAACAGTTACTTTAGTGGCAACATGGAACTACACATCCTAACTAAGCCATTGCACGAAATAAATTATCTTCCACAAGGTAGATGTGCCTGGACCTCTTATGGGAAGAGACCCCCTATAGGTGGATTCTTGTAAACGACCACCTACCAAAAGCGACCACTCAGTCTTTACATTCTGGGTGGTCACTTATGCGAGGTTCGACTGTACTAAATATTGTACCAAGACAATATGTTATTTGATTTTTATATTTTAACTGCATGTACAAAGAATGCTACCTTTAGTCTCCCAGTCTTTTAGTTCCGCAAGGAGTTTAGCTTCATCTGCAGCAGGTAGAGCTATGACTCTCACCAGGTGTTCCATCTCAACAAAACTCTGCTGAAACTTAACAGGATCCCACTTACTGAAGACACAGTGTGCCCAGTCATTCCTGACACTCCTGACATCACCAGCTGCAGCCTCCACAGCAGCTGAGAACACAGGTACACCACCAAGCAGGGTGAGTACAGCTGATGCATCACAGTGGTCATCAAAAGCATTGAACTTTGCCATAAAGTTTTCTACATAGAGCTTGGCAAAGTCAATGTGAGATAACACTCTACAATCAAACAAGGAAATGTTGTATTTTCCACCTGGAAGCTTTGGGTGAAGACTGTTACCATTGATGTTCTCATACTTTAAAAACTTTCTTGGTGGCCACCTTTGAAGACGACCAGATGTACTTTGTGTATGAATATTGTGACTTGTCTTGAGATTGTTGTATTCCTTATCAACCTCTTGTTCCACAAAAGGACGGATCTGTGGCACAAGGATCTTGTTGAGTGCTATTCCCACCACAAGCCATCTTTTCTGGTTGTCAGATGTAACAAGATGAGTGGATCTAAATGATAATTAAGGAAAATAAATGGTAAAGCCAACAGTGTGTACAACAATATAATTGTGAAAAGGCAAAGTTTATAGTCATGTATAATTTATTTTTTTAGGCACATGGAGGTTACGTTGATGGTTTCAAAACTAACTAGTGCATTTTGTTTTTCTGTAGTCGGTTTAAAACTAACTTGTAAGTGTCGCTGAAATTTTGATAATGATAAGTATCCCCCTTCAATTCAAGACGTTTTTAAAGACAATTAGTAGCCAACTTCTCCTACTGAAGTATCTGATACTTTCCATCACCCTTTGGTGTTGAAAGCAGATTATACCTGTTCATGAATACCTGACTAAAAAACCTGGGTCATTTGTTTATTGACAAAACAATAGGTATACCATTATTTTGCTGTTTATAAATTGGTAATATAATGTCCATCTTTGACAATGTTCAAGATGTCCGGAGTAACCAGAAATCTTTTGTTTGGAAGCCTCCAGAACAATTTTAGCAATGTTCAGACGTATTCAAAACATCTTTGCCAATGATCGGATACTGTCAGATATCCAGACTGGCGAGCTCTAGCTGGTATACAGACTGTTGTGTACCTGCCAACTTTTTCTGAGTCAAATGCATGAGATTTTTACCTTGTCATGACTGGGATTTCCAGAAACATCCCGGCGACTTCTAAACATTTCCAACAACTTTCAGAAGACTTCTAAACATTGCCAAAAATGTCCGCAGATGTTCCGAAGACATTTGAGTACTTCTGAAGCCACATAAAAGACAACAATTTGAGTGTGCTTTGATTTCCTTAGAACACAAAAAAGGACACAAAGTCATCATTTAACACCTTTTTGGATTGAATTTTCATTATTCATCATGTGTTACCGAACAATTTATCCAGATTTGTGAGTCAGGCGTGAGAAATTTTCCTTGATGTGTGAGATCAACGTCTTTAGTCCATGGTGCATGACATTTGCAGACTGCAGACTGCAGACTGCACTGCTTGAGGCAACAAGACTGTAAATTGAATGAAACCAAAAATATCGTAATAAAGGTGGCATCATCATCAACATTACCTTGTTCCGAGAAGTACATGTAAGGCCTAGAAGCGAAGTTTATATTTTTCACGCAAATTACACCGACCTCATTCCTGAAGGAGTTGTTGGCTGTTCTTCTTGTATTGAATTAGAGCAGAATAATGTCTGCCGATGTCACAAACTGGAGCATGAATCCATAGCAACAGGCTAGCAATTTAGCCTGCACCACAGGCTAAGTTTGTCTGTGAAACAGCGCCAGAATCCTTATTCTACGGCTCCCCACCTGTGTACTAGGATTTGAGTATGAGCAATGATTGGCCTGTTAAAAAAAGCCATTGTCAATTTGCCTATTTAGAAATTCAAAATGCCCTTAAAATTCCGGTCCAGGTAGGATCTGTTGAGTTTAGATTATTTAGCATATCCTTAAATACTGTTAAGATGAAATACAGCATTTAAATTTGTTAGATGTGCGTGATCTATCCTAGTTGCCCGGGGGGGGGAGTACTTTAAGAATTTCTGGGTGGGGATGTGCCGCTGGGACCCTGGAACCCTTAACCTATACCACAGCAAGTTCAGCTGAATTTTGCTACCCTATACTAGAGTAAACTTCCCAAAATCCCCCTATCCTAGAGTAGCTGTTTCCCTAGTCTAGATAAAATCTTCAACCAACTGATCAGTTTTCAGTGCTCACAATCTAAAAACTGTTTTTTACAGAAAACTGCTATTTAGACAGGCATTAGTGGGCATTGCTATTTGTCATTATCAATTTACAAATTATAATCAAAGAAGAATAAAGAATCAACGCAATTATCGATATGCCGGATGAGTCAATAAAGAGCCGCCAACAGCATCTTGGAAATGACGCCAATGTAACTTTGCGCAAAAAAATATCAACCTTGTTCCCAGGCTACTTTCTCACTTTCACACGATGTTATATTTTTGATGGTGTCACCTTTATTAGGAAGACTTTTGGTGTCTTTTAATTTACAATCTGCAATCTGTGGTCTGCATTCTGCAGTCTGCAGTCTGCGGTCTGAAGTCTGCGGTCTGCGGTCTGCAGTCTGCAAATGTCATACACCGGTATTATGCTTACCCAGATGAAGACAAAGCCATTTCAAAATTTAGTTTTCCATGTTAATCAAGTCATCCTGTTTGACAATACCTGAGTACTAGTCAGATAAATAACAACATTTCAAAATAATTCAAACCAGCTTTAGGTAAACAGGAAAGAAAAGGGCAAACTTAAAATCAAAGAAACACATACAGCTACATGTTGCTGAATCTGCTGTGAAACTTTGGACACCTAATGTACCAGTGAGTAGAAACAGCAAGATATAAATATGAACATACAGTTGTAATATCTGCCTAAGGAAGGGGAGGGAATATGGTAATGCTTTACATGGGCGATATGAAAAGGTATTGCTTTCAGCAGATTGGGGTTTAGAAATCAGAGAGTTCATTATTCAAGAACAGGTAATAGTTTATGGCAAAGTGTTGTTCCAGAAATTATATCCATACTACCCAGAGCACATCTTTTCACCACCTAAACCTGCACTGATTTCAGTGCGACTGTGATCGCCTTCTTTACAGTATTATGTAAGGGAAACTAACACAGACTGTGCTAGGGAAAGCGCGGGATCGAAAGCAAATTGGAACGTTTATAACCTTCACTTCCGGGTCGAAATAGTAAAGTGTAAGACGATATACTGCAACTTCACATTTCGAAGTCTAAAAGAAAAAGTCTTAGTTGCCAACTTATGAAATTAAATTTTGCAAATCATAGATCATATCCCACACAATTCTAGGTGGTTTAAGGAACAGACAGCGAGCACATTCTCCTTTCATTGCACGGCGGCGTAATAAAATACATGTAACACAAGGAGTGTCATACGATTACTTGTATACGGTTCCTAAAGATTTCATAAGCCTTAAGCAATTAAAAATCAACCAATACTTACAAACTGAAAAACTTAGTTAGGGCAGCAAAATTTTCCTGAATTCAAATCGATGGAAAGAACTGACAAGACAACTCCTTCTTCTTGCAGAAAACAGTCAGGTATGCTGGTCATGTGACAACCGCTTTCTAGTCCCAGGTCACGCACATGCAGAAGTCACGCTAGGTTGCACTTGCAGTTTAACCACGTTGGCCAGAGAACGCAGAAAAAACGCTCTAGTCCTCTAGATCACCGAGAGGAATGTGCTGGATCATGGTTTGGATGCATTAGTAAAATCGAATATCAAGGAAAATAGAAATACAGAGAAACAGATACAATTCTTTATTAAGCAACTATTATTAATCAAAATTAGCATTTGCTAATTAATAGCCTCTTTGCATGACTTGATCACGTGATCCACTTTCGGTAAACACGAAAAGAGTTCTCTTTTGAAACATTTTGCCAGCACAAGCTGAAAGAGCATATTAAAATTAGGTAAACTGAGTATTTTCAGCCGTATATCTCAAAAGCAGCGGTTGCAACGGCCACCGAAAGTTGGAAGCATTTGTTTGAGAAAAACAACTTTTGCCATTCAGTCACACCTGCATGGTTTTCCATACAAATCCTTGTAATTTCAAAAATTTCAAAACTGTCATGAAATATTTCCTTAAGCATTACAGGGCTCAAATCTCCTTTTAATTCATAACAGGTAATTTGAACTCTTAAATGCGTGAGGGAAATGATATAACGACAGTTTAAAAATTTTAGAATTTACAAGGATTTGTATGGAAAACCACGCAAGCATGACTGGATGACAAAAGTTATTTTTCTCATACAAATGCTTCTCACTTTCGGCGGCTGTTGCAATCGCTACTTTTGAGATATACGGCTGAAAATTTTCAGGTTACCTAATTTTAATATGCTCTTTCAGCTTGTGCTAACAAAATTTTTCAAAAGTGAACTGTTTTCGTGTTTACCGAAAGTTGACCACGTGATCAAGTCATGCAAAGAGCCTATTGATTACTTCACCAAACAAAGTCAGTAACAACATTAGGCTCAACATATTGTTGCTCCAGGTAATAATTAATGAGCTACATCCATTCTCTAGGATTACCGGCAGGTAATATTATTATTATTTTTTAAATATATCTATGAACAAAATAAGTTATTCTCTCTTTCTTTGTAGCAGCTCTCAGTTCTGGGGTTTATTCTAGGAATTCGTATACATGGGCCCTTTTCCAAGAAAGAGGGCCCAATTAGGAAGTTATCTTAACCTTTTTTGCACCACCTGATCTGATGATTTCTCTTTCACCTCATTTCAATGTTATTATTGCTGTCATGCCAATGACCCTGCTGCTTGACTTCACCTTGCATAAGCCATTCTAGAGCAGATTGAGCTTCCATGGCCACTATCCTAAGGCCAGCACCTACAATGGTCATTCCAAATAATCAAACAGGCTGGTCTTTACAACTGCTTTTCAATCCCCTTTTCAGGTACGTGTACTACAGAATGAATTGCTCTCCCCAGGGTTGTCACTAAGATTTCAAGTTGCTGGGTAAATACAACAAGTAGGTGGGGAATCAAACAACTAGGAATTTCTTTTGGTTCTATTTTTCTTCAACATTGTATTCTCCAATGAAAGTAGCCAGGGACCACATTCATAGTAGCTGGGAGAAATCCTCTGTCCCCGGCTCTTAATGACATCCCTACTCCCTTTACATTGTAAAACATATGTTATGAATCTGATACTGTACTCCATATTTTATTTCTCACTCTCTCACACTAAATGTATGTTAACAACCTCTTATTAATGTCTATCATACTTTTTAAATAAACAAATACAAATACTAACTTGTACAAAATGCTGTTTTGTTTAACCTGTTCAGAAAGTCTCTGATTACAGTGTACCACATAGCCCAATCCATCTTCAAGACCCTAAAGTCTATTGGTTTTTGTGTACAACTGTAAATACCTACGACCATGACCTAAAGTAAAGATAAAGACTCCTATTTTAACTCTGCAGCACAAAGGTCATCATATGACTAACAAACCTGAGGCCGATGGTACGCTAACCCCCTTTCTCCAGCAGCACTCTGTTTTATGGCTATTTAAAGGTACTTAAAGCTAGATGTGTACAGAAAATAAGTCGGAATCAAACTCAAGACTTCTAGCACAGAAACCCACACACTAACCAACCGTGCCAATCCTTGCTCCCAACTTGCAAGCTTGCCTGTTCAGCCTACAAAGCAAGTTGTGTCACCCAATCCCTCTAAGATTTAACATGCAGAGGTTAAAAAGGTGCTTAAGGTGGGTTCTTTAATTAAGTATAATTCATGATATGCGTCATTATCTTTCAAACGGGATCTGCCAAAGATATCGAAATAGATGACTTAAACCAAAAATAACTGTCTGAAAGTGAATAGGCTCTTTGCATGACTTGAACACATGATCAAATTCGGTAAACACAAAAACAGTTCACTTTTAGAAAGATTTTGTTAGTACAAGCTGAAAGAGCATATTTCATTTATTTATTTATTTATTTAGTCACTCACAAAACCTTACACAACATGAACAAAAGGTGTTAATTAAATTATAAAACTAATGTGACAAGGAAGCCTAACGAAGCTTGAAGCTTATATTAATAGGTTTCCTTCAACTACCTAATGAACTAAGTTCATGGCTGAGTGCAGAGTGAGCAAGATCAGAAAATTAAACGACAGATCGGCTATCAGTGAGATAATTCTTTAAATTTTTTTTAAAAACAGATATAGAAGGAGAGCTAATTAGTGAAACAGGCAACAAATTCCAGATTTTAGGTCCTCGGTAAAGGATACTGAATTATTTTATATTTGTTCTACAAAAATGAGGTCTATATTGAGAGGCTAGTCGAGTTTCGTATTGATGGACTTGATTACTACTTAAGAACAAGTCATGAAAGCTATTAGGCAAAAGATTATGGTGATAAGAATACATAAAGGTAGCAACAGAAAATGAATTAATACTAAATATGTCAAGGACTTTAAGCTGGCTAAATAAAGGGGTGGTATTTGCTAGATAGTGAGCTTTTGTTATGAGTCGCACTAGACGCTTTTGCAAAAGGTAAATACAGTTTAGGTTGGAACAGTAGGTGGAGGACCAGGCGACATTACAGTATGTTAAGAAAGGATATACAAGGGAGTAATACAAGGTCATCAAAGTTTGGGATGATAGGTAAAAGCGGGCTTTCGCAATAATTCCCACACTTTTCGAAATTTTTTTTGAGACGAAATCAATATGTGGTTTCCAAGAGAGATGCTGATCAATGAGAACACCTAAAAATTTTGTCTCCGTGACTTGCTTGATCACGGTATTTTCCAGAGTAAGAGGGACATTAACATTGACTTTCTTTTGCCTTGGATGAAAAATCATAAAATTTGTTTTAGTCAGATTTAGAGATAACTTATTCACTTTAAGCCAAATAATTATTTTTGCAAGTTCATTGTTAACAATAGAAACAAGGTGATATTTAAATTAGGTAACCTGAGAATTTTCAGCCGTACATCTCAAAAGTAGCAATTGCAACGGCCGCCGAAAGCTTGAAGCATTTATATCAGAAAAACAACTTTTGCCATCCAGTCACACTTGCATGGTTTTCCACACAAATCCTTGTAATTTCAAAATTTTCAAAAGTTTCATTAAATATTTTCTTAAGCATTAGACGGCTCAAATATCCTTTTAATTCATAACAGGCAATTAGAGCCCTTAAATGCATAAGGGAAAGATTAAATGAGAGTTTAAAAATTTTAGAATTTACAAGGATTTGTATGGAAAACCATGCCAGCATGACTGGGTGGGAAAAGTTGTTTTTCTCATACAACTGCTTCTAACTTTCAGCGCCGTTACAATCGCTACTTTTGAGATACACGAATGAAATTTCTCAGGTTGCTTAATTTTAATATGCTCTTTCAGCTTGTGCTAAGAAAATTTTTCAAAAGTGAACTGTTTTCTTGTTTACCGAAAGTTGATCACCTAATCAAGTCAAGCAAAGAGCCTATTGCAGAATTATTTCGTCTACACTGTATCACTCAGGCTCCCAACTTGAGTCATGCCAGACTTTAACTTTGCCATCAGAAGATGCAGATAAAAGAGCGATCTCAGTTGGGTGATAAGATATAGAGTACACAACAGACTGATGTGCCTTCTCCAGTGTGTGTACTATCTTTCCCTCCATCAGATCCCAGAAGCAAATCCTGCCATCCTCAGAGCCACTCACCACCTGTGCATCACTGCTGCTCAAACAACTGTCCACTTTGTAGTCTCTGTTTTTATGACCTGTGAATCTGAAACAAAATGAATTTAAGTCACCTCTCCTATCCTAAAATGTATTAGCACTGATTGAAAAATGCCCACGACAAAGGTTACATGACTGTACCTGTAACAACATCGGTTAGTGTACAATGTTTTGAAACATATTATATGAAAACATCTATATCATACAGAGGATCCATTGTTTGGAATCTCTTAGAACCCTCTCCTGTCAGTGCCAGCAATTATGCTAAAAGGGCAAAAAAACCTCCTGCCCTCAGAAACTTGAACGTTAATGAAGAGTCACTGCAAATTGGTCCCCAAATTGACAGTGATTCGTCTGTTATTGATAATTCTATTCATATCTTTTATTGTACGTAAATTATTTGGCCTTTTACTGACCACATTCATATTTTTAATAATACATTGACACTGGTGTGTTTTTTTATCATTTTTAGCGTATTTTTTAATTTTCAATTTTTATTATCCTTTTAACATTTTTTACACAGCCCCATAAGCTATATTAGCTTTAAAACCCACCGTGTTTAAATAAAAGATGTTCTTGTCGTTTTTGTTACCTCTGCAGCTGTAAGCTTTCCTTGTTTATTACATGTATATCAATCCTTACTTACATACATGTACTTATCATTATTCTTATATATATTTTTTGGCTTTTACATGAAAGTGAAGATATGAAATTGAATATACAGCATAATTGAACAGCAGGAGAACACATGAAGATTATAATAGTTATGTAGTTATGTACGCAACAAAAAAGGGTGCTGGGGACTTTGGTAAAATGGTAGATACTTTATTGGTAGGCTAGGGCAATGAACAAAGCTACAGTAGCTAGTTTAAAGGCATGCCACTTAGTAAAAATGAAACAGAATTAACTAATATGACACAGGTGACCATGCCTGAGAAAAAAATCATGGGACTTAGACAAAGGACTGTGATAGAATGACTGTCTGCTGCACCTTCCAATGGGCCCACTGTCTCCTTCCATGAACTTTTTTTTAAAAATTTAATTAATGCATCCTTTTTGCTGCGATGGGAATGAAAAACCACTCTTACATGTAAATGGTACATGTACATCTATGTACAGTAGTATATTTTGTGAACATAAATCTTGGTTACTTACTCATTTAGTAACTCTCCTGTGTCTTTGTCCATCAGACGGATGGTATCATCAAGAGTGGATGCTAACACACACTGGCCATCCCTGGTAAAACTCACACTAGTTACTGGGTGGCCAATGCAGTCTACATGCAACTGACCCATGCGGATATCATAGTTGCGAACTTTACCATCGATGGATCTTAAAACCAAATTAAAAACAGTGATAGACAATGAGAAAAAAATAACTACGAAATTCAAACGAGTTTTGGCCTTTGATTCTCTTCAAATCCCAAGTCACAAAAATACATGTAACATTTATACTATCTATGAAATTTATACCACTCTAATTTAGCCTGTTTTAGAAGAATTTCTTACAGCCACTTAAAAGAGCTGCCATATGACTCATTAAAAAAGTAAATTACATTTAAAGAGCGTTTTCACATGATGTCACAGCGGCGATATTGGTGTTCCAAAACAATGAAACTATGGCTATGTTGGTGTTCCAAACAAATCCTGTGGGAGTTATACTCTTTTCTGATGAAAATGCTTTCTTTTGTTCGAATAAATTTGCATAGATGCTGGCCACATGAGTAAGAATGCTTTACATGTATAGCAGTGGAATGAGCTTAACACCACTAACAGATATTGCTATTAGTCCAAAAAACCACTACATAATTATAAGAAGAGCAGAAATACTTTTGACACATGTAATTGCATCATGATGAACCAATCAGGTAAATACACAGTGTACTGGTACAGTTGTATGACAGAACCATATAACTGCAATATTAGTTACACTAGTAGTAATTAATTGCACATTATTGTTTCCTAGAAATGAGGTCTTTCGTAACACTTATCATTATTTTTACTTAAGCAAGGACTGGCAAGAAGCTTTTTTAATGTTAACTAACTTTCTTACCCTGACAAAATTTCATGTTGCGATACCATCAGTGAGGAAACACTATCTTTGGCATCATCAATAATCTGTATAGGTTCAGCACTGCGAGATCTACAGTCCCAACAGCGTATTGTGGCATCATATGAACCCGAGATAATTACTGTGCTATCTGGCTGATTGAACTTAACACAGTTGACTCTCTGCAATGCAACAAATTACCGTTGAAAAGATAACAGATGTGCATCTCTCACAAGCTTATCCTAAAGGCACTAAATTATTAAGTTTTATTAAGAGTGGGCAGAGCATCACAAAAATAATGCTTAAAATAAAATTATGATAGTTTGAATTGCATCTTCAACTGTGATGAACTCAACTTCATTTATTTCTTCATTCTGCAGTTCAAATATATAAAATTGATATATTCATCTCTTCATCTTTCCTGGGTATATTACGGACAAATTTTATTACCTGCAGCTCTCAGCTGGCTTGCCAACTCAATTGTTAAGAGCGCTGCACCGGCAGTATCACAGAGGCTAGGGTTCAAATCCAGGGGGGGCCTGATTTTTTTAGCCTTTCTTTCAGTAACTACATGAGCTTAAGTCATGTCTTCAACTGCAATGATCTTCTGTGAATTTGTCATGAAGATACTGTTGTAAATATCGTTACTATTCTCTGGGGAACTGTGAAGGGGGTCGGGCATGAAAGGAAACCAGTCGTTTCAATACAAACTCAAGCAGAAAAATAATTGTGCAAAAATTCCTTCAATTCAAGTATAGTTTACGCGTGAACAAGAAAAATGTTTTGGGTGAATATTCGTCCTTCTAAGCCAAGCAGGTGGAACTATTTACACCTCGTGCAAACTCGAAGTCGAACGCTGAGAAATTTGTGCGTTTTTATATCAAGTATCACTCGATAGAACTTTAATAGGGGCGAACTCGAACCGGGCGAATTCGAAAGGGGGTGAAACCGGCTGATTCCACTTGTATCGAAACGACTTGTACCGCATAAGAACTTACAGCAGTATGACCTCTAAAGCGTCTTACAATCTGTCCTGTAGCCACGTCCCATTGTACTACAGTCTTGTCTGCTCCACAGCTAGCCAGTCGACTGTTATCACTGGATCCTACAGCATCAAGTACTTCATAACCATGTCCACTGTACGTCTTTAACAACACAGCTTTGTGAGGGTTCCACAGCTTCAACAGTTTGTCGCTTCCGCAAGTTAAACAGTAGTTACCATCGTGGTTAAATCTAACGGCTCGTACAGCTCCTTGGTGTCCTTTCAATTGACAGGTTTCCTTGCATGGAAGGGGTAGGTCCATTTCCTTAGGACTTACCGGTCATATTTGTTCAGACGTTTAATGAACGAAACTATCACGAAACCACCGTCTCTTCGTCCGCCATGTTGCGGCTACTCCTTGGTAACCATCCTTTTTGCTTTCAAGCGAAGCCGAGTGGGGATTGGACTGGATACGCTATTTTGTGTAGTCTGCACAAAGTGTCCCCAACGAACACCAACGACAATGCTAAGAAAGAACGGAAAGAAGGACTAAAGTAAATCTTGTGAAAACCACCATTACCAGCGTGGAAGAAACCTCTCATAACTGTTGAACCAATGCTATATTGAAATTAATCAGAATAAAATGTCCTCAGGATATGGGCTCCTGGTATTCCTTGTTAGATATTTCCTTGCTGTTAGTGTTTCGCCTGGTGTTTGTTCCTTGATTATCGATGCCGCGGGTTGATCACCTGTATCACTCTCTGAAGATAAAAGGCACTCGTGGAATGAATTCGGCAGATAATGAGCAAAACCCTCTATCGCTCTGCGTCCACGCTGACCCCGCAAGCGGTGCAGTCTTCGCTTCGAACAGTCTTCCGATAAAGATTCGCGCAGGTTTAATAGGGATTTTTTTTTTTCATGTGGACCACTGAATGCAACGTGTGCAGTTTATTCTTTTCGAATTGCCCCCGGCACCCCTTTCCTTGGAATTGAAAACAATGTTGTGAATTTTCCCTTCCCAAGGGGTAGAGAATCCAGCTTAAGTCACTTAAACCCTTGTATTCCCCGGCATATTGGATCCATATTTCCCTGGTTAGCCCGAAGTCCTACCTCTGGGGCAGGCCGATGATAAATTTTGCATCAACCTTTTTATTTTCCTGCGATGTCATGAGTTAAGATTTACAGGACACTTCCTAAGAGAGCTAAGTGTTAAATTAACACGGGTAGACCATGAAAAAGCGCGAAAAAGGACACTTGAGAGAACACTGAGTCATTTCAAGACCCGACAACAGGTGACTTTTGAAACCGGAGATGAAAGTCCTCCAGGAACCACTTGAGCAAACTAAGCATCAGATTTTCCTGTTTTAAAATTTTAATGCGCCATTGAAAATAACAGGAACATATTTCAAATGTGTTCCATTTCAAATGTGCTTATGTCTTATTGAGCGATTTGATGTGGATGTTTTGGCGATATTGACAGTTATGTTCCTTTTGAACTCAGTTCGTTCGCTCAATATTTTTTTCTAAAAACAGAAAAACTACATTGATGCAGTTGGGTTTCTCAAGTATGAAATGTCACTGTGGAATATGAAGCTTAATTGGTAGGTGTCAAAATACCATTCATAGTCCATTAAATGTGTATTCTTAGTTATTTGTTATTGAAAGAATAAAGTTTAGACAATCGAAGCGTCGCTCCAAAGAAAAAGAAAAAGAAAACAAACAATTCGCGTCTTTAGCTTAGACCAAGCCTCAGCTAGGAACTGGAACTTTGTCTCAAGCTTCGAAATGAATTTAAAAACATTGGTTATGCAATTGATGCGCGGCTTGAATTTGATAAATCATTCAATCGTAAGACAAGATGACCTCAGTCACAGTTTTGAATTGCGAATTTTTGACAGAAGTGTTGCGAAAACAATAAGTATACCACACTGGTGCCGTGTTGTTACAGGAAAAAGAACGCCTCTAGCTGTCGCTCTATAGACAAGGTAAAGTTTTCTTTTTTAAACTGTTTTATGTCAGTTTCAGGGAGATGGACAATGAAATTTACTAGGCATACGCCCTTAGACTAAGATGGAGAGTGGCTTCTCAGACAAAGTAAACAATTCGGAGATTTTGTTCTGAAATATAAGCAACAATGCACAAGACGATTCTTGTGCGAGGAAATCGATGGTATACTGTCGATAAATTTTAGCGCCGGTCTGACTTTCCGGAATCAATTTACTTCATAGCATTCAAGCAACGAAAAGTTTAAGAAACATCCTATTATGTTCTACTTTTTCAACACTTGTCTGCGATCATGCCAATTCCCTATTATTTCAGTATGTCGTTTACGGGAAGAAGCCTCAGTTAAATATTTTCCCTCTCAATTTCAAAAAATGAACGCCTGATAGCAGGTTACTCTGGCATGGGTTCTCGTAAGCGCGCTCAGAGCTTAAGGGGATTTACTTTATGGCATTGAATTACATACACTAAAATTGAGTTCTTAGTTAACGGTTTTAATCTTACAAGTTTCTTTAAAATTGAGTGCCTCAGTTACAAATGGCATTGCTCTGCCCAGAGTATACGAATCTTCCATTGCGTTGGATTGACAACAACCAACTCTTTTGATATAACCAGTTCAATGACGGGAGAATTCTTCAACAGGTTATAAAAGGTATCGGGTCTACCCGTTTGGAAGCATTCTAAAGCTGGATTCTTATTCCGGATCAAGAAAATATTTTCAATATAGCTGTATATGACATAAGACGGTCAAATTATTTCTTTTCTTTAAAACCTTTTTGCATCGGGGACGAGGGCAGCAGGGAGTTTGTTCGAATCAATGAGTAAGGTTGACCAAGAGAGGGGGTATAGAATGGTACCTCGAAAAACGTGGGTTTCGGAAAATTTTGGCACGATCTCGAAATCTCGGAAGTGTTTTTGCTAGGTCTCGCAGTCTCGTTTCCGGCTGGGTCTTTTAATTCGTCTCGGAGTTTCGATTTTTTTTTGCCGACAGGTCTCTGATCAAGTCTCGGATTTGTCTTTTTATCTTCAGCGTTTTGTCGTTAGAGGTCGATTTTTTTTCAGAGTTCATGGGTGCATCCACAACCGAGTAAACTTTATTGAACAAGACAGTAAAACAAGATAAAGCAGTACATTGGTGGGCTTTTGCAAGCTTCTATCGGCATTGGCGCTTTTAATTCACTTATTTTATGAAGCTTTATTTGTAACATTATCTCGAATTCGGAATTTTCGGCGATTAGAGTCTCGGGCTCGACTTTTGAAACCAGGGTCTCGCAATCTTGCAAAGTTTCGAATCTACCATTCTACAGCTCTAAGAAGTCAAAATTGGACCAGACTACATCACGGCTATGGCGCATTCAAAGGTTAGAGCCGGTTGTAAGAAGAAGTGGTTATCAGCATTAGTTAGAGCGAACAAATTTATTGTAAATTTAATAATAATGATAAAAACACACAGACTCAGAACAAAGATTTTGGGGAGAGAAATATTTGGACATTACTTGACTGTTTCTCAGTCATATTTGTTCTGAATCCGTATCAGTTCTATCTATATCTATCAGTTATGTTTCCCGCCGAGTAGATTATGCATGTAACTTCTTCCATTTAGGAATACAAATTCCTAAGTGATAGAAAGTATCTACAAACGAACAGGAAACAGGTTAGTTTCCGATAATCTTAGCACGAGTAACAGGGCACAGAAAGTACTAGGGAGGAGAGGGAGAGTAGATAATCGTGGGCGTGAGAACTGACCTGCCACACGGGCGGCTCTGTACCGGTTCTCGGGTGTTGACAATTTGACAGAACGCCAATTTGCATACTTTTAGACACGAACAGCTCGATTTGTAAGGAATGAAACACGAAACTTAGTATCCCGAATGAGCATAAACGCTGCCAAATATATGTAGTTATGTCTTTCCCCATGCATCCCAAAAAGCGATCACTTGTGCTGAATTGCTTGGTTTACTCGGAAAAAATAAAGAAAACTAGGGCTGGAGGAAAATGGATATGAACACAGGCTTATTCTCTATTTACGAACCTCCGACAATTAACTCCTCTTGTCCACCCTCTTCCCTCTCCCCCCCCCCCCCCCCCAAAAAAAAAAATGGGCAAAAAACCGTCGAACAATATGTAGTTTTGTTTTTCCCCATGCACCCCAAAAAAGGATCCCTTGGGCGGAATTTCTTGGTTTACCCGGAAAAAAAAAAAAAAAATAGGGCTGGGGGAAAAAGGAAATGAACACCGGCTTTTTCCCTTTTTTCCAACCCCCCCCAATTAACCCCCCTTTTCCCCCCCCTCCCCCCCCCCCCCCCCCCCCCCAAAAAAAAAGTGGGTAAGCGTTTTTTGAAAACAATGGCTTTTGCAAAAGTTGGGGGCAAACAGAGTGTATTATCGGGAATACGAAAATAGTCAATAGCCACTTAAAAAAAAAAAACTTTCCATTTTCAGGGTTAAATGCATGATCTGGCCCTATAAGGGTGACGGAATGGAGAAAGAGAAATTACTAAAATATAGGACATCGATCGATATACGAAGGAAAGTTTAGGCCACGAGGAGGAGTCGGGGAAATAGCACGTCTTACCCTACTGCTAAATAGGGACGATCACTAATGAGTAAAACATTATCGCACTGATCATATAACTGATGTTAACGCGTACAGGGGATAGGACCTAAATTTATTACTTCCTCGCCAAAACTCTGGTATTCTGACCAATAACAAAAGGAAGGAAAAGGCAATAAAATCCTGCTTGCAAAGAAATATTTTGATTGTACTCGGAGTGATGCATTCATGGTCAGTTGGTGACGAAAGGTGATGTTATGCACGCCACCTTACGAAGTGTCGTTCTCAATGCTAAAATAACCCACATGTATGTTGACGATAGCTCTTAATTTCACCTCCAAATCTCGCTTGCGGACAAGATTCCTTATATTTCTTACAGTTTGTGTTTAAGTATTCTTCTCAATTTAGCAAAAGTTTATAAGTTTACAATTCCAAAGGGAGGTTTGATTGTGGAATTTGTGGCTTGACGTAAACATGGATCAGGGCTATTAGCTTGATTAAATGGCAACAGGTTGATATTGTTTTTCTTTATTCGAATGAATCAGACAATTTTTAACATGAATGAATGTGATTTTTTGAGTGAGTAGTCATGTCTACAGCTATAAATAAGGCCCCAAAGGCCTGGTAACTAGTGTAATGTTGTTCCAAAATGAAATGCAAAATTAATTCAGTCATGACTTGATCTATGAACCCACAGAGAGCGCTGTGGATGGTATTTGTAAAGCTGATGCAATTTTTTTCTCTTTATCTCTCTTTTTCAAAGGCGTCACTAATATATATCAAGATGAAGAACTTCCTTTTGCTGTCGGCCATATTATTGGGTAATGTAAGACTCCAATGAGATTCTTTAGCTCTTAACGCTGAGCAGTTCACTGGCTTAAAGTAATATTCATGTTGTCCAATAAGCTCCATATTTGAAAAATGTTATTTGAGCTGTTGCAGTTTAATTTTAAATGAGTGTTCATATATTTTTCAAGCTCTCCGTAGAAAGACTCTTTTGGAACCGGAATATCGGACAAATATACGCCTTACGTTTACAACAATGAATAATGGTGATAATTATCATCTTCAGTAATGATTATGAGGTTCCAATAATATCAATAAAAAAACTATAAATGTGAATGTTATTCTTTTAAGTCATAACAGCGCTAGTCTCAGCAAAAAGTATTAAGAAACACACAAGCAGTAAAACGAGATTGCACCGTCTCCATGATGAGGGACATCGCCGACAAGGAGCAGTAGCCCCGGCACCCACGGCCGCAGCAGCAGCACCTGCACCTGCTGCTACTACAGTACCACCAGCACCTGGGGCCCCCACAGTACCACCAGCACCAGGTGCTGCCGCAGCACCACCAGCACCCGGAGCTACCACAGTACCACCAGCACCGGGTGCTACCACAGTACCACCAGCACCAGGTGCTACCGCAGTACCAGCACCTGGTGCAGCCAAAGTACCACCAGCACCAGTTCCTGGCGCTACCACTGTACCACCAGGACCAGGTGTTACCGCAGTACCACCAGCACCCGGTGCAACCACAGTACCACCAGCACCAGGTGCTACCGCAGTACCACCAGCACCCGGAGCTACCACTGTACCACCAGCACCAGGTGCTACTGCAGTACCACCAGCACCCGGAGCTACCACTGTACCACCAGCACCAGGTGCTACTGCAGTACCACCAGCACCCGGTGCAACCACAGTACCACCAGCACCAGGTGCTACTGCAGTACCACCAGTACCCGGTGCAGCCAAAGTACTGCCAGTACCAGTTCCTGGACCTACCACTGCACCACCAGCACCAGGTGCTACCGCAGTACCACCAGCACCCGGTGCAATCACAGTACCGCCAGCACCAGGTGCAACCAAAGTACCACCAGCGCCAGTTCCTGGCGCTACCACTGTACCACCAGCACCCGGTGCAACCACAGTGCCACCAGCACCAGTTCCTGGCGCTAGCACTGTACCACCAGCACCAGCTCCTGGCGCTACCACTGTACCACCAGCACCCGGCGCTACCACAGTGCCGCCAGCTGCCGGCGTTAGCAAAGCCGCACCAGTTCCTGGCGCTAGCACTATACCACCAGCACCTGGCGCAACCACAGCACCACCAGCACCAGGTGCTTCCACAGCAGCACCAGCACCTGGGGCTACTGCAGTTCCACCAGCACCTGGCGCTACCACAGTACCACCAGTACCCGGTGCTTCCACAGCAGCACCAGCACCTGGGGCTACTGCAGTACCACCCGTACCCGGTGCTGCCACAGTAGCACCAGCTCCAGGGGCAACTCCTACGGCCAAAGTGCCCTCGGGTGAGTAATTATTGTAGGTTCTATTATTGTTTTGTATTTCGGTAATGTAAGTTAGGGCGTCAAATTTAAGAGGAAAAGAAAAGTTTCACGAAAGATAACAAAGTAAATTGTACATAACGACTAAAGTGTCTTAGCCTCCGAGAAAATTCTCCGAGGACCATCCCCGGAGCACTCAAGAGAGCTTGCTTACAGGCTTGAAGTATCTCAGGCTGTGTTCACACGATACTGGCCGGGATCGATAGCTTTCGTGCAAACAGGAAAAGCTGTCCTGTATGGCATGAACGCCTATCCGACATGTGACTCTCCTCTTTAGATATCGACTTCGCTTCGTTACAGAAATCGAGCCGAAATCACTGTTCTAATGTGTGTGACATGTGTGAACAGAATCCCTATTCTATGTGGCTTAATTTTCGCACCGGCGCAAATGTTATCCGGTATAGTGTTATCAAAGCCTTAGGCCTCAACCAAACGTCAAACTTTTCATGAGACGAGCCAAAATTTTTTATTTAACTTCAAGAAACGTTCGACGTCTGGCCAACTTAAGTTCGTCTAAAGAAGCTTGGATCGTCCCACACGTTCCATCCGTCTGCTTCAGAAGAATTATAGAACGTCTGAAGATGATCTCAGAGACAAACGTCGATCGATCCTCACACGCGACCAACTAAACTAATAAATTAAAATTTGGATGATAATTTATATTTAGCGTCTTTGGACCGCTAAAATTCCTTTTGGTCTGATTCAGTTGATTGGTTCGACGCGTCTCCTGTTTGACGTCTCACCCAACAGACGATCTTAACTAAATTTAGGTCGACCCAAATTAGAGTTTTGGTTTGTCACATGAAGAGTTCGACGTTTGGTCAAGGCCTTAGACTTTTGAATTGGTTTCTTTCGTAATTTGAGTTTATTGCTACTTTGGTTATCTATTGAAAGAGCGCAAGTTGTTTTTTCCTATGATGTTCTTAATAGCTTTGAAAAAATGTATACTTTAAGTGGTCAAATATTGACCATTGAAGCTTTTAACATCACTTAGTTGTTCTGAGAACACTTTTGTGAACATTTCCTGTGCTTTTTTCCCACCACAGTTCCTGTTGCCGGTTATAAGAGCCCGACGAAAAATGCATTATTCAAACCTAACGATGAAGAAACAAAAGCTAAATCCACGGAAAAGGATGAAGATGTGTCAGGAGAACAGGAGATTAGTGATGCCTCAGCCGAGAGTGGGCAGGAGAACGATGCATCTGCCGAGGAGGAAGACAGAGAGAAAGATAATTTTGCTGAAGTCGAGGAAGAGACTGACAGCTCTGCTGATGATAAATTAGGGCGGTGGAAAACTATAAGAAACTTAATCCGAAAACACGAAACACCGACGGCAACAATCTTAAAAGGAAAGTCATCAGAAATCTGAAGAATGGGAAGCGTTGTTCATGAATTCAAAAGAACTTTGGATACTAACACAAATATAACTTTTTGTCTTTTGCATGTTGCATAACCTAAACATGTTAACTTACCTTTGACAATAAACAAAGTTTTAACAGAATTTAAGCTTTGTTTTGAATGGTTTCACTTGTGTGGTTTCTTACAATAACTTGAATGAGCTAAAAGAAAAGGCCCTGAATCTTTCATAAAGAGTTCGACTTAACTCGGCATCGTGTTTAAAATTTAGTTGTTATGAATTTTGAACGTTTTATAAGTAAACCGTATTGTGCAATGACCATTACTTTCAACGGCATCGTAACTTTGTTCTCCTTTGTATAAATAGTACACCATAATCCAAAATGCCATTTTCGAGTTATTCCAAGCCTCCTTTTAACTTTAATTAGACAGGGATAAGTGTGGAAGCCTTTGATTCTCACTTAAATATGTTCACTTGATAGGTTTTGCATTTAGCCTTAGTGTGTCAATCGAGTGTGCGAGTAAAAGTTTGTCATGCAATTTAACTTAAAAATCCAATGGACGAATCAGCAAATACAAAGAAATTACAGGCGGCTGTGTTAAGAGCGGGAGAATGGGCCAGCAAGTTTCCACTGCCAATTTATTGCGCAAGAAACTGACACGAAAGTTGCCAATCACAAGACGATTCAATGGAAAATAAAAGAAATTGAGACATATTTTTTCCCTCTTAAAAGTGCTCTGCACTTTGCGGCCACATGAACTTCTGCTACTGAGAACCGCTAAAAAAGAATTACCAATAGCGACTGTAAATCATTATTCCTCGCGAAGCGACGCCGGAGGCCTTGCGAAGCAGAGGTTTATAAATTTGTCGCACTCGAAAGCGTAGATCGCGCGTAGATAATACCACATTGCACACTAGGGTGGCCCATATTGGTGCACTCATAGTCAGTACTATTTGCCCATGGGTGTGGGCTGGTGAAAAAGGCGACAACTAAACATTAGTACGCGTCCACTTTTACGAGACTACAGTATTTTTTCCTTATAGCTTGTAAGGGTTTAACCTTAATGTTGAGTCCGTGGACGTTAAAAGAACAAGCAAGCAAGGACTAAAGTTAGATACATTATGCTCAAAAATGTGAGTATAATGCTTTTGAGCGTCACGCTCAAAACAACAGCATTATGCCTAAAAATTATGCTAGAAAAGTAGCACTATGCTAGGCTGATCTTGGTTATATTTGATGCCCTTGTCCATTCCTGCAGTCAAAAACAACTACCTCTATAATTGAGAAAAACGGCATTTTATTGCATCATTTTCTGACAGCTATGATGGATAGAAAACTGGCAAGCCTTGGCAGTCTTCAAAATAATGCAACACGCAACCAGGGCTTGAAGGTAGCAACCAAGCCATTGAATATGTTAAGTCCTTACTAAACGCACTTGAACGGGAATATTTCTCATTACGGTTATGGAAATACTAATTTTATTATTATTATTATTTATTATTGTTATTATTATTATTATTATTATTATTATTATTATTATTAATATCATAATATAAGATATACTAGTGTAATTGCGATTGATTTTCTCTCTCAACACCCGAGTCCAAACCATTGATGGAGAGGACCCACCTGAGAAGGTAGGCTGTAGAAAGGAGAGTTATTTTCTGGAGTTCATGTATGTTGATGTTGCCAGGGATTTTGTTGGAGCAGTTTTCCATGTCCTTCTTGATGGTGCCAAGGGCTCTTATAACCACCGGGACTGTTGTTGTTTTGAGCTCAACCTCAATTTCCAAGTCTTTGTATTTGGTAAACTTTTGCGTGGGTTTGACTGAGGTGTTGGTGTCGAGGGATACAGTCATGTCAATGAGAAGGCAGGTTTTATCCTTCTTGTTCTTTAGCACAATGTCCGGCCTATTAACTGCTATGTTCCTGTCAGTGTGGATGGGCATGTCCCACGGAATAGTGACGCTTTCATTCCAGGTGACAGTCTTGGGTTCATGCTCATACCATCGTTCCTTCACTTCCATGCCAAACTCTTTGCAGATCGCCCAGTGCATGTGTGCAGCTGCATTGTTGTGGCGGTGGATATATTTAGTTTTAGCCAGTTCAGGGCACCCAGAGACCAGGTGGTCAATGGTCTAGTCGAAACGGCCACACAGTCTACATTTTGGGTCCACGTCAGGCTTCTTGAGGATGTTGTATTGGTACCAGCGTGTTGGGAGGCTTTGATCCTGGGCTGCAATGATAAAGCCTTTGGTTTCTGCCTTGACGCTAGCTGCTTTAGCCATCTGTGGGTCTTGTCTTGGTCCACGTCAGCCTGTTTCACCCGTTGTGGGTATTTGCCTTGGTGCGCTCTTGATTCCCACTTTGGACCTGAGCTGTTGGCGACCCTGGTGTTTGGCCTTGGCCTTTGTTCTGCGGGCATAGGTGGTGTTCGCCTCATCCTCTGCAGCTGGTATTGCGGGCACTCTCAGTTCCCGACTGAACTTCACTGACTGCCTGTTGATGGAGTACAAGGATTTCCTGTCGTCACGGTCTTCGACAAAGTGGAGGATAGTGTCCTGCGTCTCCTGGAGGTATTTATCAAGACCGATAGTGGTTGACTTGTAGGAAAGCTTTACTTGTATGAGCCCTCTACCTCCTTCAGTTATGGGCAGGTACAGCCTGTCCACGTCAGATTTGGGGTGGTGCATCTTGTACGTGGTCAGGAACCTTCTAGTCTTTGTATCAAGTTTGGCCAGCTCTTGTAACGTCCAGTTTATGATGTCAAAACTGTAAGTTACCACTGGTACTGCCAAGGTGTTTAGTGGCTTCCAGTTTGTTTGCAGATTTCAGCTCAGACTTGAGACTTATTATTATTATTCTCTTTATGCTGAAAAAAATGCCCATTCGGCCGGCATTATGCTCAATGCTCCGACTACATCATTATGCCCAAAATTATGCCGTCATAATGTATGTAACCCTAGCAAATCTTCAATATTGATGGGGGGATGAACTATCCGTGATTTCTAATCAATTTTCTTCACTCGTTGCAAAAGTCATTTGACAGCACTGAAAAGAGTCATTCGCCATTTGCACATCTTCATAATGCATCTTGTTTACCTCCCAAAATTTTGCGTAAGCGTTATCTTCAATTTATGGCTTAGGACCATTGCAATACCCAGGAGAAATAAAAACCAAAGGGCAAGCCAAATAAATTTGGGGAGGGAGGCAAGCAAGATGTATTATACGAGATATGCAGATAATTGTTTGGGTAAGGACTGTGAGATGCATTATTATTATGGGATCATGATGCCAGAGTTATTATGAAAGTGTAATGTACAGGTTAAACAATTATTTTAGAGTTTGGAAACAATAACTAGACTTGTTTTCCTCGTAAAAGGTTAATTCATTGACTGCACGATTGATAGCTCTCATTTCATCTCGCCCCGTTTGGTGTCAAGTGATAAGATTTAAAACAGGTTCGACTGACCTTTTTATTGCTGGAGCGTGAGACTTAAATATTGAAGGTACTTGAAACGATATGTTGCACTTCTATATTACCTGTCTAGCTACATGAAAATTAAGAATGTAGACAGGAATCCTTACTCTGAATACAACCAGAACACATTCGCAAATGCTTTCAAATAATTTATTTCACCTAAGCATCCCCCTATGAGCAAGAAGTAAGAAATAAATAGTGGCAAGGCAGAAAAATATCACTGACGATAAACGGGCTCTCTTATTTGGGAACACGCCCACCCGTACGAGACATTTTTACAAAACTGGACACCAAAGCCTTCGTCAATAACAATAACCAAAGATACTTGTCACTGGCTTTAAGTTATTGGTTAGTAATGTAGGACCTGCTAGCTCATAAACTGGACCTACCAAGGGTACATTCGATCAATTATGGCCTGCACTGGTGAAAGAAAAGCGCATCAAAATTGTGGAAAAGTTTATCAGATGCGAAAAGGAAGGTTGACACTTATAAAACTTTTAAACAAAATTAAATCCTCTCAAGTAGATTTTTTAGCATTATACAAACTAAAAATATTTTAAGATTTTTATGTTTTAGCTTTATTTCTTTTTTTTTTTTTTGGCATTTTTCAAATTTTTCAGGGGAGAGGTAATTCACGACTTTAAAATTTTGATCGGTGGTTTGGCCTATCTTAAAACTAGTTTTGTAGCTCAAATTACTGATCATTTAAGTCTGAAGTCCGACATTGCGAATTTTCAACCATGAGACTTTTCTTGTGTTCAGATTGTAATCTGACAGAGGAGGTCAAACGGATCACCAATCACCAGCTTCCGACGGTAGAAAAATTCTGGTGAAGAACTGATTTACTCCGATGCGAAGATAAAAACCTTTTTAAAAGTTTTGGCTAAACTACTTTGCGATACACAAAATCAGGAAATTGACATCGAACCTGTATATTTAAGGTTAATTACGAAAACAGAAACAAGGTAATATATTTTCTCCTTGATTCTGAAGGCGATTACGAGTGCTTCACATGAATATCTGTATTATAGTGTTTGTAACTTAGGTTATCTGTTTTCAACTGTTCTTTTGTTATCAGATTTTACAGCCCCACAGAAAGACTTTAAAACGAACATGAAGAACTTGTATCTGATTTTCGTCGTTTTGTCTTCGTTCTTAGTTTGGGGAGGTGAGTTGTAATCTTTGGTTCATGTGTTTAAAAATTGATTAACCTTAGAATCCAAATACAATGGTAACAGATTACTTCTTAACACTTAAAGAACAAAGAAAATTCATCGAGTTTAAAGTGCAATTAAACTGAGAAAATAATTAGTAACAAAAGCCCTACTGTGTAATCGTTATTTTAAAATCGCTTACAGTGATTATTTACAAATGCATAAGTTAGCAGTTTTAACGTTGATTAATGGTGTGGGTGAATAGATCTGGAAATAGATGTAATGAAGACTTCATCCTGTTAATTGTCGAGTAAATGGAGCTATCAAGTTCTAAAGATAGCAAAATCGCGGAGATCGAAATGATTTCTATGCCCTCTACTAAATGTAATAGCGAAAATTTCGAATTCAGTCAGATTTATGGTGTGGTTTGGAACTGCAAGTTCCGCTGTGAGGTAGTCGCTGAGTGACATGGTTTTGTTTTAAATTGGTTGTAGAAATTAACGTAATAGCCTGTTCCACAGAGCTGCGTGCATTTCAGATCAACCAAACTATTGCTTAGAGAATGGTTTGAACACAGTTGTCTTGTCACAGGCGGGTAAGGTGGAATATGGTCGCCGGGGAGAGTGTAGTCCTGAATCGGACAGTTGTTAACACGGCCTATCTATCCGGTTGTATCATTCGAGGGACTGGCAAAGTTCTGTAAAGAGCTGCGAAGCCGTGATGAAAATGAGGAGGAGATGCTTCGAATTTTCTGGCGCTTTCGCCGCCAGAAATGCGCTGTCACACGCGCAAAAAAAACCGCCAGCAATGCAGGCTATTGTTACAACTGTAACAATGACTGATGTAAGGCAACCTCTGTGGATGTCTTAATTGCAGAAGTATCATGTTATAGCTTCTAGATTTTAATTAAGCCAAAATGAAATTTAATAACTGAAAGTTTATAGCGACTTTCCGTGGTGTTGTAATTTTAAAATTGAGTATATTTACTAAATGACATATTTGTCCCCAAATAGCGCATGCGCACTTTTAAATTTTGTATTTTCAATTTATTGAGAATTTTTTTTTGTTATTTTTCCTTTTATTTTAGAATGCCGAGCAGTGTCAAGAGGTAATAACAGTCACGATAATGAGTAATTTCTAAGTGATTAAATTAGAATTTAAGTAATATTTAAAACAAAACTTGTCAAGAAAAAGAGATGTCAGCACGAAAATGCTGGGAAAAAAGAGTGATTCAACTGTGTCTGCATTCCATATCGATCTTATACAGGAACTCATTGATTACAAGTAAAAGTAAAAAGTGAGACTGAAATTAGGATTTTTTAGGTGGGAATATCTCTTAAGTTTTAATATTTACCTCGTCTTTATTAACAAAGATATTGGAAAAAGGATACCACAGCTATACTATTTAAAGATGAAAATTTGTTGTGAGCCATGTTTTGTTGACATCAGAGTTGCCATGGCAACGTAATGACGCCCATTACGTTTTTAATGACAATTGCTCTTCTATTAGTTTATGATAAGCTCAGCTGGCAAAGCGCCCACTTGCCCAAGACACAGAAAGCCAATACTTCCTCTAATAACCGGTCTCGGCCAACTTGTCTTGTCCCCAGTGCCCACGCCACACCTCGTTATCTTCTTGGCCTCCATAAGACATACGGGACATAAGTATTCTCTCTTCTTAAAGCCGATCTCTTTAATAGCGGTCAAGAGTATAACTGGGCTGAATTTCCAAAACCTTCGTTACCTTTTAGAAGGAAAACAAATGATTGTCGTAATTTCTATTTATATTGCTTTTGCGCTCTTCTCTGTCGGCGTAAGCGTTTCAACCCATCTTTGTATCGTTTGTCGCCATTGATTATCTGTCTAACTCGAGTTTGGTTTTGTTTGTTTTTGCTTTGGTTGTTTGTTTTTGTTGTTATTTTTTTCTCCACCCTTCACTTCACTTTTTCAACAAAATGAAAAACTGTTCTACCTGCATGTCTACATAGAATGTCGTGACAATTTTCACAACTGTGAGACATGGAAGAGGTCTGGGCTTTGTCATGGCACTGCGCATGCGTTTTACCTCCGGAATGGCTGCGCAAAAACCTGTGGGTTTTGCAAAAGTAAGTAATATTAACGAACGTTAGAGTAACAATGTATGTGTCTTAGGTCAGGGATAACAGTAATAACTCAGTCACGTGAAGTCTACGTGATCATTTAGGAGAAGATCTCATAGCCTGTTCTACTATCTGAACGCCTGGAACAGGCAATAGATCTCAGAGTATTGTGCTCTTAGTGTTCTTGCCTAGACGCCAGGCCACATCATTCCGCACGGCCTATTAATTTTGGGTCACGTGGCCGTTCGTCTCGGAACGGGAACTAGCTGTAAATGACTTATTAAACTGAGGTCATACGTCCATGAAACTAAAAAGAAACAAGAGCCATAATAGGACCTCTTGAAAGAAATGGTCTCTTAAAGGAGCTATGTCACCTATATCTTAGCGAAGCTGGCCACCAAATTGAATGAAATATAAAAATAACAGCTTATTAAACTTTGAAAGGAGGGTAGAGCTCGCATGGACAAAATTGAAGAATATTAAATGGGTTTTCCAATTGTGTTCTTTTTTTAAAATTGTTTAGCTACGTAGCTTTTCAAAGTTGATCTCTGATGTTATTAATGATGTTTTGGGCGCTAAGAAAACACACTCAACTTTTGTGCTATGAAGCTGTTATTGTGTTGAATAGAATTAATTTCCTCGCCAGCACTTAGCAAGTAATTTGGAAAACGTACAGAATGGCCTTAAAAAATGCTCAGTGACATATTTCGTAAAATAAAAACTGTTTTATTCTCGCAGGTGACACTCCATTACAGACCAATCAACATTCAATTCAAGATACTCCCAAGAAAGCAAACAAACAAAATAATAAAGGGATTGGTCAGGGTCAGCAGAAACTTCATTCTCCTGGTCAGGTACCATTGCCTTCAGATCCTTCATTGAAATCAGGACAAGGTAAGCCATTCACTGTGATAAAGGTTTTTTCAGAAAGTCATTTCTCAGTTTTAACCATGGCACTTATATTTCAGTTGAACTTAAATATAACGGATTCCGAATAAATTCCAGATATTTATAAAATAACTGAGATAGTACGCGTGATCTGATTGGTCAAAAACCTATGGTTTATTATACCGGTAAACCCATAGAAAAAGGCATCCGGACCACGAGCCATAAACAAAACCGGCTATTGATCTGCAAACAACGATTTTAGAAAGGCTAAAAAACAGAACAAGCTACTTACCCAGCCCTTCTTAATATCAAAAGTGTTGGTTTCCACATTTTATTACTGCCATAGCTTTAGGAGTAATAAAGCACAAAGCTGGAAAGCAGTTTACATTTCACGACGATGCCAAATCGCAGAGAAAGACAACAACTGTGTGAATTTCTGGTGTAGAAAGTCTCCAGGAAAACTTAACCATTTGCCAACCAGCAACAAAACGGATAGTTTTAGCATTCTTGATTTATTTTATGTCAAAATTAAATTCGTTAATGAAAGAAATTGTTCCAAAAAGAGATCTCTGATCAAGATATGGTGCAAAATCGGCCGCTGTAGGTTGTAAACAAGCTGCCAACGATGATGAAAGATGTCAGACTTTCGGGCTGGTTTTTTCCAACATTTGCACAAATCATTCGGTGATATCGATGCTATAACCTACCTCAAACCACCTGACTTTACAAATCGACAAATATTAACGCCAATATGTGGCTACGGCAAAGAAACCTTTCTCCGCCACTGACATATTTCCATCGGTCGCTGTACGTGCATATAAAGTTACATGCGACAACTTCGCAAATGCAGCCACGTCGTAACCGCAGAATTTCCGCAGAATTTCCGCAGAAAATCACTCGCCTTCGGCTTGTGATTTACAAGCTTTTCTCGTGTTCTCCCAACATCCCGCGTGGGTTATCACGCCGGTAAACCCATAGAAAGTGTGGTCTATTGCTTAAAAAGAGCGATGTTCGTCGGTCGACGCCATTTTAACGGGCCATGCCCCTATCTATAACAAAGCTATTAGTGATAATAGATGTAATATATTCTCTAGATTAAGTTTTCATGAGATAGCATAGCCTTAACGAGAACAAACTTTTAGCCCCAGTTGAATTTAGTTCGTTTAAAGTTCGGAAAGGTCTAGGATTATCTCTTGAAGTGGTATCAGTTAGAAAAGACGGTTGGTTAAAATACATACTTCAATTTTTTGGAATTAAGGCGGATAGTCTCTTCAGTTATAGAAATATAATGGATAGGAGAAGACCCAATTCAATATACTTCCATTACAATGAACGCTATTTTCCCAATAATTTAGCTCTTCGTTATAACAATTTTCCCCCTATATTAAAAGCATCTTAAAATAAACTGAAAGGATTTGACCCGGAAGGTAATGAATTGAAACGAAATATTTCGACTGCGCTCAGCCTTTCATGAACCTGGTCCAGTTTAAGGACACGGACCCGTTATGTCCGCGAGCACAATCGACCACTGAGCGCTTTTTTGCACCTTATACGTACTATCATCTTGCTTTTAAGGAGGAAAAAGGCTTTCCAAAGTCTTTCAACCTTTCAGGATAACTTCTTCAAGTTAACTAAATGAAGCGCGTTATTTTAACCAAAAATATTGGTCATTCTTACTTAAAAGAAACTTGTTAACACTACCATTTACTAAAAGACAACCAAACAAAAAGGTCAAAATAACCCTGTTGATAGTTATTTTAACACCTTTTAAATTAGTTATTTCAAATCAATAGAATCCAGTTATTTGAAACCAATCTACAAAGTAAATTGGTCACTATGACTAAAACAAAAGGATTCTCTCAGACGCATTTTGCAACAATGTTCATTGGTTATTTTAACTAATCAAATTTTACAGTGCACGTTAATTTAAAATCGTACCTTTCATGCCAAGTCTCTGTTGGACGTGTTCTCAGGAACGTGTTCATGACGAACGGGAATCGGCCTTACAAGCTTGACCACGTGATACTATAGGCGGGAAAAAGATAATGCGAAATAACGATATTTGTTTGAGTACATGACAAAATTCAGTACCTTATTCACAGTTGCTTCCATAATTTTGGCGTTTTTTAACTACCCTTCCTTCTACCCGCCCTCAGAAGAGTGCACAGATAGGTTTGTGTCACAGACGTGTAAGCAATGGAAGGATGGACAGATGTGTCTGGACGACCGTTACAGAAATTATCTGACTTACGGCTGTGCTTCCACATGTCGCTTTTGTAGTAAGTACAGATCTTCAGTTTTATAACACTGACGACAGAGATATACATTAAGTACTGTTTAAAAAACGAGCAGGAGTGTATTATCAGGTTTAAAACTCGAGGCAAAGCCGATAGTTTTAAACCTGATAATACACGAATACGAGTCTTTTGAACAGCTTCAAAATCTCTAATATAAATCAACTCATTCTTGCACTAATATTTAGATTTGAGGTTATTTTGCTCTAAAGAAAAATCGAACGTAAAGTTTAGCCGTGTCTTTATTAGATATAAAGACCGTTATTAACCATTACTTCTTTCGTTCTTTCTTTATGAATTTTTAATGAGTTTTTTAATTGCTCACATCCTTTAGAACATTGCCTTTATGAAAGGCACCACAGAGTCCTTGGACGGCCATACATGTTTCATTTTTTTCTTAAAATGTCATTTAACCTCCTCCTTGTCAGATTGCCGTGATACATATAGAGAAAGCCCATATTGTGACGAGTGGAAATCAAAAGGATTTTGTAAACAATATAAAGATCAGCTGGATACTTATTGCCCAAAAACATGTGGATTCTGTATCAGTAAGTATAACTGATATTTTTCCCCTGAAAAACTCACGCTCACACACAAGCAACATTTTGTCCCACACGCGACCTAGATGCAACAGAATATCATAGTGACTAATGGTAGAGTTTAATTTACTTCTCAATCAAGATGCAAAGTACGAAGAAACCACAGTACCGCCTCAGAACACAACAGCTCCTACACCGTCCCAGAGCGCTACACCTCCAAGTTCCGATCAAGAGAGGGCAAGACCAGTTATTACGGTAGTTAAGAACGTTATTCAACGTCAGCCACTGAACGCGAGATTTGCGAATACTGGGAACGCCAATTCCAAAAGAGGTTTGCCGTTATTCAACAGGGAAGGAAATGCAGCGCTGTGGTCTGTCAACGCTGATACCAGGATTACGCTACCTCAACCACAGCAATATGACGACATGGGAGGTAAGGAAAACGCCTGGGGGGAGGGTACTTTCTTTGATGGCCTATTCGAAGAGGCTCGGTCCTGCCGGAAAGCTAAGGGGCTCCATTTTCAGGCTTCAGGTATATGAAAGGGTGGAAGTTTCACTAGTTTAAGTATAAGAAAGGGTAGGAAAATCTGGAGTTTTGGCCTCTAAAAGGTCCTAAGAGGGCTAACAAAATATGCATCTTATGCTTGTGAAAAAGACAAAAATCGGATCATTTTAGTTTTCTGGGAAACTGCCCACCGACCCCTTCCCTAAACCAACATTAACACTTAGTTCTTACTTAGGGCAAAATATTGGAATAGGGGAGGGGTAGGTGGGCAGTTTCACAGAAACGTAAAATGATCCCAAAAATCTACCTGCTATAGTAATTTATTCGTATTAAAAAGACAGTGCAGTTACAGCAATTATAATAGCCTACGAGCAGGCTGACATGGTACAAATCATTAAAAATTGCGACAGCTTAGTTTATTACAAATTGCGATGGACAGCTATTACAAATTGCAACAGCTTTTTTATTGCAAAGTGCGACACGGGTTTATGACAAATTGCGACAGATATTAAAAAGTGCGATGGATTGTTTACAAACTGCGACAGTACATCGTTCCTTGAGAACGTAACGTAACTTTTTAAAAGCTGTCCAAAATTCTTCCTGTACCACGTGAACGTAGCCTCTCTATCTTTCTTCTCGTACGCTTAACTTGTTTTCTTTCATGTAAGGTGCCGTGAGGCATCCCCTTGAAGACGGAACTTACTTCACTCCGGCCAAAACAAACGAGAAGTTTGAGTACTACACAGAGCACTACTCCCCAGATCCCTATGTAGCGGCAGCACAGAGGGAAGAATGGATGACAGCAAACACTGGTGATGGTGTCGCCCCAAATCCTTCACTCAGCCGGAAGTCAAAAGACCCGGAAGTGAAAGAANTACAAATCATTAAAAATTGCGACAGCTTAGTTTATTACAAATTGCGATGGACAGCTATTACAAATTGCAACAGCTTTTTTATTGCAAAGTGCGACACGGGTTTATGACAAATTGCGACAGATATTAAAAAGTGCGATGGATTGTTTACAAACTGCGACAGTACATCGTTCCTTGAGAACGTAACGTAACTTTTTAAAAGCTGTCCAAAATTCTTCCTGTACCACGTGAACGTAGCCTCTCTATCTTTCTTCTCGTACGCTTAACTTGTTTTCTTTCATGTAAGGTGCCGTGAGGCATCCCCTTGAAGACGGAACTTACTTCACTCCGGCCAAAACAAACGAGAAGTTTGAGTACTACACAGAGCACTACTCCCCAGATCCCTATGTAGCGGCAGCACAGAGGGAAGAATGGATGACAGCAAACACTGGTGATGGTGTCGCCCCAAATCCTTCACTCAGCCGGAAGTCAAAAGACCCGGAAGTGAAAGAAGAAAAACCAAATATTTTTGTAGTGAAGAAATCTAAAGTCAAACGTAATAGACATAAGCATTCAAAAAAGCATTGAACCAAACGAATTTACCTTGACTATCGATGAAAAATACACCAACTCGCAAAAGTGACTATTTTAGTTATGAAAAATTAGGGAGTTTAAGATACCAGGATGGCCACGGCAGCGAAAAGGTCAGTTTAAAAGTAACTTTTCTTCCTTTGAAACTTCAAGGCGATGATCCCAACTCGTACACTATGTCAAATGTAGGCTAACTCTCCTGGAATTGAATTCCTAAGAAAAATATTCAAGTTAAAAGAGAAAAAGTGGAATTCGTCGTCGTTTGTTTATCGCGTCCAAGAGAGAATGAACTCATTCTGTCTTGTCGCGTCGCAGTCGTACAGCGACGGCAAAGAAATGTACCAAAAAGTTGTTGTTTTGCTAATCTAATTAAAATTCTTGCTGTTTTGCCGTTCTCGTTGCCCTTACTTTCGTGACATCTTTGGCCCTGTACACATAAATACAGATATTGGTTAGAATAATCAAAATGAAGTTTTAGCGAACGTCGTCGTTAATTCACCTGTGAATTGTGACTTTTCCACTATGGTTTGCTCTAGGACCTTTTTATATGGGGAAAACCTGTCTCTAGTATAAGCGTTACCCTCCCAGCCGAGTCAACTTTAGAAAGCATTTATACAGTGGAAGCTCCGTGTGTGACTACCCTTCATAAGTGACCACGTGACTTTTCGCAATTTGGGTGGTTACTTGCGGGAGCGCTTGCATATGCTCTCATTAGGGACCTAACGATCCGAAAACGGTGACGTTCATGAAAACGTCGCTGAATAATAGACTCCGCATCCTTTCAAACCATTTCGCGATTATCCCAAGTCGCCCAGTTACTTAAAACAAGGAAATTTAAGTTAGAGCTAAGGAGGGGGGACAGAGATGGTATAATTTATCGAATGGCCTTTCATTTCACGTCGTAGTTGTACAGGGACGGCGAAGAAATGTACAAAAAAGGGTGATGCACGTGCAAAGTTGTTGTTTGGCTCATTGAACCTATGGACGTTTTGACGTTGCCGTTTCTGTTCTCGTCGTAGTTTCCTAAGGTCCCTAAATAATGTCTCGCCTGGATCAAGTTGACCCAGCTGGGCAGGCTAAGGTCTTAATAGAATAATATGAAAAAAATAGTTGACCAGGCTAGTAGGGCGGTGACCCTATAACCACAAAAGGGTGACCAGGCTAGGCGAGTCACCCCTCCAGCCCAGCCAATCTTTTTTCTCAAGTGGACAGCTCGCCATCGTTTGTGAGGAAATGTATGAAAAGTTAGCTCGCCCAGTGTTGATCGGATAGGCGGGTGACCCATCTACCCGGAACAACTTTCCCCATATAATTGGGGCCTAGGAACGTGGGGATGAATAGACAAAATAGAAGAGTTGATTCCTCAGGAGCCTTTACGCATTCATGATGGTTAGTGACTTCCTACCCCGAGTTAAACTTCAGAGGCCACAGTTTAGTGCTTTGCGCAGTTCACGAGACTTACTGTTTCATCAGTTTTAATAGTTTGTTGTTTTTGTCCTTCTCAATAAATTATGAAAAAATAGAAACATATATAATTTATAACATAGCGCGCGTGCTTGCCCTATATAAGTCCTATTGAGCCGCTATGAACAAAATCTTTATTTACGCACGCCCGTGCGTAAATAAGATGACGTAAGCATTTCGTTTTACCTAGCTGCAGAGTTGTCGTCTTTTAAGCTGCAGTGCAGTTTTCCTTCTCTTTAAAATATGGAAGAAACCAGCGAAGAACNCGAAAACGGTGACGTTCATGAAAACGTCGCTGAATAATAGACTCCGCATCCTTTCAAACCATTTCGCGATTATCCCAAGTCGCCCAGTTACTTAAAACAAGGAAATTTAAGTTAGAGCTAAGGGGAGGGGACAGAGATGGTATAATTTATCGCCTGGCCTTTCATTTCACGTCGTAGTTGTACAGGGACGGCGAAGAAATGTACAAAAAAGGGTGATGCACGTGCAAAGTTGTTGTTTTGCTCATTGAACCTATTGACTTTTTGACGTTGCCGTTTCCGTTCTCGTCGTAGTTTCCTAAAGTCCCTAAATAATGTCTCGCCTGGACCAAGTTGACCCAGCTGGGCAGGCTAAGGTCTTAATAGAATAATATGAAAAAAATAGTTGGCCAGGCTAGTAGGGCGGTGACCCTATAACAACAAAAGGGTGACCAGGCTAGGCCTGTCACCCCTCCAGCCCAGCCAATCTTTTTTCTCAAGTGGACAGTCGCCATCGTTTGTAAGGAAATGTATGAAAAGTTAGCTCGCCCAGTGTTGATCGGATAGGCGGGTGACCCATCTACCCGGAACAACTTTCCCCATATAATTGGGGCCTGGGAACGTGGGGATGAATAGACAAAATAGAAGAGTTGATTCCTCAGGAGCCTTTACGCATTCATGATGGTTAGTGACTTCCTACCCCGAGTTAAACTTCAGAGGCCACAGTTTAGTGCTTTGCGTAGTTCACGAGACTTACTGTTTCATCAGTTTTAATAGTTTATGTTGTTTTTGTCCTTCTCAATAAATTATGAAAAAATAGAAACATATATAATTTTTAGCACAGTTGTGTATTTCAAAGCGTTAATGTTTTGACATACATTAGAAATATCATGCTATTTTGTGTAAATTTAGTCATAATAAAAATAAATTATTTTGCGCCAGCCATAAAGAGATCGCCCCTGTCATTGTTTCTAGATCACTTTTTTGTTGTTGGAAGGGGGGGGGGGTGGGTGGGGGGTCAAAGGAACCGCTTAACTTCCCCTGGGTAAGGATGTATCGTTACCTTTCATAAACCATGATCCGTGTGATCTGACTTAGATCATTCCAAATAAACGTACCGACCTCGGGGGAGAGTCATTGGAAATGTTTTTGTGATGATACCGCTACTGATTTCAAACATTAACAGAAGTATTAGTATCGGTGGAAATGCACGAATAGTAAAACATTGGCCATTTCTGAGTATAAGAGTAGAGCCTTTCAGGGATGTGAAAATTTTTTTTCCATTTGCATGCAAATGAAACTCATTTTCGCAAAGGAAAGAGTTTGTACATGGTCTCATCCTGAAACCGAAATTTTTTGGCATTTAAAAAATGGCCTTATAGCTTTGTCCAAAAAGTCGGGAGGACATAGATGAATATCTGAAAAGTTCAAGTTCGATTTATTTTTGGAAAACCACTGATCATGGCGTCCTAACCTCTTGGAGAATTTCTTTTGTTGCTGTTGTGCAAACTAAGGATACTGTGAATTACGGAAAATGAAATTTTACTTTTCACAAAACGTCCTAGAATTCTTACTAGATGGCCTCTTAAAGGAAGCAGCTTTACCAAAATAAACCTGTTGTCAATGAATTTGAATGGCAACTGCAGGTGGCGAACTAAAGCTAACAAGCCGTGCATTTACTGAAAGAACCATATCGTTTTAAAATGAAGGTCCTGAGGCAAATTATCATCTCCGTTAAGATAAGTTAAGGCAAGATAGCATCAAAAAGGAAAGAAAGCCTAATTGCGAACGTGGATGAAATCAAAAGATAGCAAGCACTCTTTCAGTTGTTATTTTCTAAAAATGAAGCTTTTCCTGATAAAAGCTTCAAAATTGAATTACAGTGCAAAATAGTAAAGGTCATTGCATTCTAAGTTTAGTTTATAATGCTTGCCGGGAGTGTTAAACAAGAAATTTTACTAAATCGATTGTTGAAACTGGAATCGAAACCTGACTCTTCAACTAGCCAATTAGTCTAAGTCATTCATCAGGGCAGATAGATTCTCTCAACGAAAGCCAGCTTTTAAATCCCTTTACGGTGGCTAAATTGCAGAGTAATAAAACTTAAGTTAATCAGTTGAAAGAAACATTTTTTGTCTTTGCGGAGTCTCAGCATGACAGTTTGTAAAAAATCAAATCTAGTTCCCCTAGAAATTCTTTATCAGCCCCGTTTAAATTTACAATATTCTGGTCTTTCGTGCCCTCGAAGTTTTCAAGGATCATAAAATATTTACAAGTTCAACCTTTCTCATGGAAACCTAGTATGTATCCCAAATGAAAAAGGGAATTGTTTATTCAAAGATTACAGGTAAGACTTGAAAGGCTTTGTCCCGTGAATTCGTTGAGCAAACAGAAAAAGATACAACGCCAAATTCCTTCCAAAGAAATCTCTTGACCTTTCCAACGCTTTATAGGTAAGAGCATAATCTTTTAACTATTTGCTTAAACGAAAAGGAGGTGTTCAAGTCAAATTCAATTGATTATTAACATGTCGGTTATGTTAGTGACAAGCAAATGTTGGCAGTGGTATAAGTGGTAGACTTAACCGCTTTCTCTTTCGACAACGTTCTAGTTGGCCGAAAACTTAAGCAATAGTAAGGGGAAAACGAATTCTGTCGTCGTAAGGAGTCAGTCGCCGGCTTTTCAGTTTCTAAACAAGGTCATATACCACAATATACCACATGATCCAAGTGTGGAGCTAACAAAATACTAGACCCCTACACCCTCAACGCGAATCTAACTTTTCTTTATTCACAAAACCACGTAAAAGTTGAATGTTGTGCGCCAGTATTACTGTTAGAATTTTTGCAGTCTTTTACAAATCTGTCAAGACCGTTTTTTTTTCTCTGCAGTGGTCCTTTTTACCGCATGACTGGGAGATGCTAATTGCTTCGCTGTTTTCGTTGTCGATAGTACTTTCATTGACAGGTCAGCCCTTTTAAACTTCGACATTGTTCTGTGTTGTTGTTTTGTTGTTTCTTCTGTGTCTTATAGGGGAATATCGACTGATAAATCGGCCGATACCTCAGTCGACTGTCGTTCGACAAACTGTTCGACATTGATATCGGTCGATATATCGACCGACTCTCCACCGACACTCGACCGATATAGCGACCGATACGTCGACCGACAGCCGACCGAGAAATCGGCCGATATATCTGTCGATACCCCCTATAAGGCACATGATCCGTTTTTTTCTAGCTGCTCTCAAGATACGGTGTATCCAGTACTACAGTGATACTATAAATTTACTTACTTGAAAGCTAACGTCACTGGTTATTTTATCATCAGACAGTAAGCTGTCTAATGGAGAAATAAAACCCATCCGTCGGTCACTTCCTGGAGGAACATCAGGTCAGTGTATGAGGAGCACTTTTCTGTAGTTTGTTCACTCATGGAACACCTTAAAGCTCTCGGTAAGATCTCGTCGTGCGCTCAATATCAAATTGGAATTTGGAGCTCAGTTGCTTTTTGAGGGGAAAGGGAAAGAAAATAAACCCAGAAGAACCAATCAGATCGAGAAAGAGGACCAACAGCAGAGAAAATTTAGCTTCCATATGAAACACCCTCCCAACTTTGTTTGTACGCAAATCCACTCACCACTACGTTACCCTTGGCCTAATCACCGTTAAAGGTAAAACAAGAGAATTCATTTGGATGTTTTATGACCTTTTGGTGACTGCATTAA